CGTTGGTGCATGTCTGATGAACGGATAGCGTGCCGACGATCGACTAAACGACAACGACGTGTGGCAGTTAATCTGGTCGTAAAACTTGTCCAGTGAGTGTAAATATTAACTCGCCGATGATGAAGTGATTTCACCTGTGGGCAGTCGTGTCGAAAATTTTAACTACGACCAAGATGTAAAACTTGCATCGGAGAAATTAGAGTGCAAAAGATAAAAAGGAAAAGAAAGAGAATAACGAAGAATACAAAATTATGTAGTGAAATTATTTTGAAAAAATTACGAGTTCGTCATTATCGGTGACAATAAAAATACGATCGGTCGTGTACCAGCGACGTTGTTGAAACGGTTACAAAATTCTCGCTCTCTCGGTCAAAGAATCTAATGGGGCTTTTCATCTGACGCAACAAGGGTTGGTATTATTTCATCTGTGATTTTTTTTCTTGTTTTTCCTTTTTTCATCTGCCGCCACCGTCATGAAGAGGATTCCTTCACGGCGGTTGCGGTGCAGACTAACCGCGACCTTGGGAGACACGTAGTGCAGAATTTCGTGCACGCGATACGCGTCGGGGAGCAGAAAGCCAGGTGCTCGCCGGAGCGTGTGCGGTTGATGGTAATGAACTTTCGCGAGGCAAGGCCGCCAGGATGATTTCATAACGCGCGCGCAATGCCTTTGCTCTCGCTCGCCTGGCCAACCTCCGCAGACCTCTCTCTCCTTCGATCCTATCGCTCTCTCCTCTTTTCTTTCTCCGAGACCGCAACAACTCGTTGTACGAGTCGTTGAACGCACGCACGAGCGACAAGGAAAGAGAATCGTAAGACTTCGTAATGAAAAAAAAAAGAAGGAAAGAAAAGAAAAGCTCGATCGAAGGAGCAAGCGAGAACGAAATAGCGAGGAGAACGTTGACTTATATAATGAATCGTGTGTCTCTGAGGCTGAATAAGATCTCGACCTCGATTGTACCGTTTCTACGCGAACCGTATGAATTTTTTCCTCGCCGCTCGAGGCGAGATCGCGATTATTGTTACGAGAGATAAAAAGCAAAGGCCGTCCGTTTGTCCTTGGTTAATTACACGCCATGGAATTCCGTGGTCGAGGAACCTGTACGTGTGGTACAAAACGACCGGAACTTTTTCTCTTCGTTGAGTGCATGCACTTCGCGACTATCTGGACAGTCTGATCAATTTATAGGGAAATTATATACGCGAACTTTTCTTTTTTACTGAGATGTTGGATCTCGGTAATGAGCGAATTAATGAGAAGAAACGGCAGTGATTTACTTATTTTTTTGTGGATTGTAGATTGTAGATTTGAACGATGTATTAGAAATCTCGCCAATAGTACGGTATAATTGGCCAATTAAAGATGAGACGATAATTCATCGTAATATTATAAATACTTGAATTTCTTGAAATTTCATGAAATTATAGACTCTAGACGGAAGACATAACGATGCGTTTATTAGTCCCAATAGGAAGAAGAAAATATAAATCGAAATTAAATTACGTGGTTTCGAAAATAAGCAAATGTCCAGATACTCTTAAACGAAAGTGTACGCGAAGCAAATGGAAAATCGTTCTTAGAATCCATCCATTTACGGTAACAGAAATACTCTGACCAGCCAGTAATCCCGTTATTCCATCGACTTATTCCATTTAATTCGTCCAACTCCTTAAATCGATCCGCAACCGGACCACAGGATGAACAAGTCACTTTTTCCTCCCAACTTCTTGCTCACGAAAATTGAATCGGCACGGGCGAAGAAACCGGTAACTCCAATATCTCCTGTCCTGTTGTGAGTGAACAAATTATTTATCCCAACCGTACAAAAAAGTTTCTTCGTCGCAGCTGTCGTTTTCTTCATCCATCGATAATCTCGGCGAGCAAAGACAATGTAACGGGTTCTTAACAGCCGTCCGACCATCTAACTTGCCACTTAAGACAAAAAAGAAAAAAAGGAGAAAGAAGCCGAGCACAGTTGCTGCAAATTCGCTCGTTCATCGGTGCGTCGTTCCTCTTGAATGAATACAAAGTAATCCAAGATTGTAATCACGCGCGACACGCCGACACCTCGATGAAGCCTCGCTTGTTGGCAAGGGCCGAACAGGGCGCAATAATTTAGCACGGACATCGTGCAAGACAAGAATCGTCTCGGTAGAGCAACATGTATAATATAGTATATGTGTACATATATATATATATACCTATACGCGTAGTACATATTGAGCCCGGTGTAACGTGGAGGCACGCGGCTTGGATCCGTTCGTGGGACTCGCGACAGAGACACGAATGGCCCTTCCATTCACGGACCTCGGTGTGCTTCCCAGTACAATTCAATTCGTTGGAAAGCGACGCCTGCTGCACGCTCCGCACAGCGTTGGAATGCTGATTCTCGAATATGCCTTGACTCGCCGAGCAGAGCACGTAGAATGGATACGCGAATCTTGCAGCGTGGTTCGCCGGAGAAGACCGCGCTGTGCGGAAACGCACGCGCCGCGCATTTCAACCTCGCGCCTTCGAGTCGCGGATCGACTTCCGATCGAGAGCCGCTCTCATCGTCGTTGCTGGCGCTCATCAGCTGGCACGTAGAATCGTCTACGGTAGTATCGGGAACGAGATACTCTCTGAAATAAAGTGGAAAATTTATATGAGTACAAAGTCACGTTTGCATCTGTTTTTAATTTTTCTTTTCCACGCGTTGATGCTAAAATTTTATTGATCTTGTTATGAATGAATTTAGCACGAAACGACGCCTACTCTCAGTTTCAGTGAAGTATTATCCCACGCTTTTTCCTTGTAAGTATATTACACCTGTACTTCTCCCGTTTTCTATTTCACAATCTCTACAATCACTCAATCCAGTCTAAACTATCCAAGTCTTGAATGTTCATATCTGCGCCTACTTCGAGCAACTTATATTCAAGTAATCTGAAGCGACTTGAAATATTTTTTTCAAACGTTTTCCAAATCTTCGGTTTACTAAAAACCAATGAAAAATGGATTCATTATAACATAATGAATGAAAAATAAATGAAAAAGTCTATCGATCAGGTCTGTACAGCGTTGGTTTCCAAGACGATGGTGTTGAAATTTATCAAGTTAGTCGATTTCGAAAAAGGAGATTTACGTACGAGCAAAAAAAAAAAAAGAAAGAAACGTTCGTAAAGCATTTTCAGTACCATGTAATAAATCTGCCAGTTCTGTACGTTCAATGAAGGGATTATGCTGGACATTCGAATCCTTCGGCTCACGTATCCGCATACGGAGACGTTTTGTGCATTTCAAAGAGTTCCTGGACGGTTTTCAAAGAAAAAAAGGTGCAAGCAGACAGACTTTCGAAAAAAGGACAACGTGTCATTTGCGAATTCGTACACAGTTGCAACTTGTGAAGCAGATGTCTTGAAATTAAAATACAGAGTTAAAGTAGAATTACCATTATTGGAACAGCGGAGAGATTGACAGTTCATAAAACGTACAGGCTTCTCATCAAGCTTCAATTATTTTACTTAATATGAAATTGACATTGAATGAATATAAACGGAAGACAAAAGAAATATAATTCAATGCAATTTGACGTACCAAAAAGATTGTCTAATTTAAATATAAAAATATCCTGAAATACATATTATAACAAATATTTCAATATTTCTCTGTAAAGAAAAGACGAGTATCTTTTTATTAAAAGATTCAAACGATCACACCTTTCCAAAATTCTAATTCCAATAAAAATATGTCTTCCAATGTCCTTCCAATTTTCAAAGATCTTCACTATCAACCAATGAAAATGCTCAATCAAAACATTTTTATTCTCCCAGTTTTATCCCAACAGAATATTGTCTCCCCGAATTGAAGCTAAATGTTTCCTAAATAAATTTGTTCCAAGAATGTCCCACATATATACTTCCCAATTAAACGTTCCACCACTACCAATATCTCGACCTCGTAAGTAAATCGTTTCTTCGTTAAAATTTCGCGATAAACGCGAGTCGAAGATGCGAACCCGGAAAAGAGAAGACAGAAGATCGGTGGATAGAGAGAGCCTCATTGTTCGGGCGGAGAGAATAGCAGAAATGATTGTACGTTGCAGAGGGTGGCGTGTCATGTTTCACGAACAATCGAACTCTCGAGGCGCGTACGCGCGCGCGACACTTCAATTCTGAAGAAATTGCGAAAATGCCACCCCGTACGGCGACGACGAAAAACAAAAACGAAGAGCGAGAGACAGAGATGCACGCGCGCCACTGCGTTTTACTGCGAATGTGTCGACGGTGAAAACTAGCAGCACAAGGATGAACCAGTGAGGAAGACAGGGTAAGAAACGGAGAGTGGAAAAAAATAAAAGAATTCTGTATTCCGCGCGCGCTCGGCATACAATTCGTTCGACTGGGGCGAGGGTGTTAACGAGAATTCGCCCACGTACGCTCGCGCCATATGACGCTTTGACTCACTCCGTTGTTAGAGGCTGGTTCACCCTCCGGACAAACGCATCCCGCCCGGTAATTACTATGATAAACTGCATGCAGAGACACGGATCGTCTCCCTACGAAATTTCATGGGAACTAAAGTTCTTAAGATTATTCAGCCTCGAGCGAATGCGCTACTTTTCAACGCTGGAATTTTCACGTTGAGCTCCGCAGAACGAATGTTAACTTCGTGCTACGAACAATCTTTCTTGGAAGTATTTTGTATTATTTATAGAAATTGAAAAATAAAATGACGTAGTTTTCGAAGGTAAGAAAATACGTGCACCGAAATTGGATCGAATTAATTAATTGATCAAAGCGAAATTAAATTTAATTCAAATATGAATTCGAACTTTGAATTTCGAAAATTTGTACCGACTATCGTATTTTACGAGAAATCAACGATTATTTCAATATTTGTAACTAGAGGTGTACAGAGTGTTTTCACAACGATGAAGTAAACTTCAATTTAATAATTTATATATTACTTTGTATATAGCGGAAATATCAAATGAAACGTATGATTTTCTCTGTTGCAGCACCCGTATATGACCAGGATACCACACAAGTTGCAGAATACGATGGAGGTACGTATATATACCACGACGACTTTCATTACTTCTAATCAATGTACACGCACGCCACAGACGTGAGGTTAATTGTATCGCAGTCGAACAGACGGCACGTGCCGTTTTAACGATTCTTACACGGCACCGCTTTCAATCGATCCTTTCGATGAATATTAAGAACGTCGTGCATTGCCTCCATCTTCAACGTCGTATATTCATGCAACTCTACAATGCACATCCTATCCTTGCAGAGTACAGTTCTGCCCTCCTTAGTCAAAACATATCGATAAATAGTTTAAATTTTACGTATCTTTTCCCGTTTGAGAAATGTGCATTCTGTAAATAACGAGTAACGAAGAAAAATAAAATAACGTTTAATTTTTGAATTTAAACGGATTATTTCAACTTTCGATATTTCGACAACGGACAGAATCGTTTATTAATTATTCTTATTAATTCCCCAATTCAAGCCGAACATTCAAATTCATAAAGATAAATGTCCCTAATAATAATTTTGCTAATTCACAGCCACGGCTGGGTGTTACTACAACTTTCAACGCTATGACGAGGGGGATAGAATCATCACGAACGAACCATGCCTAAACTGCACGTGTCACAATCGAATGCTGATGTGTTACTTGAGGGTTTGTCCCTTCACGAAGGCGATCGGACAAGACTGCACGGTTGAGAAACGTCCAGATCAATGTTGTCCTGTCATCACTTGTCCAGAAGTGCCAGTGCAGCTATTGACTTCGACTACTAATGCGCCCGCAACTTCCGGTTCCACGGCAATCGGCTTCCACGACAATTATGGATGCAACGTCGAGAATCGGTTCTACGCAGACGGTGCCCAATTGCCTACCGATCCTAAAAATCCTTGCGAACTCTGCTACTGTATCAGGAACAGGACTACTTGCGTCATGCAGGAGTGTACTTTACGCGTGGCTGGATGCAGGCCCGTCTATCAACCGGGAATTTGCTGTCCTGTCAAATACAATTGCGGTAAGTTTCTTGCAAATGCATTGAACATAGGAAAGAATATTACTTATGAAATATTGTTGGCGTTGGAAGTATTCAATAGAGAAATTAATTCGTTTCTTCAGAAAATGGTCTTTAAATGAATAAAAGAAATTCTTTATACGAAGAGTTTGAAAAATATCAAGATTCTTAAAGAATAGATTCTCTTACAACGTCAACTTACATATTTTTAACAAAAAATATAATTAATATAACAATTGAAATTTGAATCAATTGGGATGAATGTTCAACAGAATACGACGAGGAACTCGCCACAACGGTTGAGCCAACGCCCGGACTGATCATGACCACTACGATGGCTCCAGGAGAAACAACGCAATGTTACTATCAAGAGAAGGTCTACGAGGACGGCGACTTGATCTACTCGACCCAGCCCTGTCAGCATTGTTACTGTTTCCGCGGTGACATCGCGTGCGCTGTGCAAGATTGCGGAACACCGATGAAAACTCACGGAAAGAATTGCACGGCTCAGCCACCGCCGGAAGGAGAGTGTTGTCCGACTACGTACCAGTGTGGTAAGAAACTTCTTCCTTCATTAAGCTGCTCAAGAGCGGCAGACAATGAGATGTACACGGAACAAGTTCTATATAAACGTTCTTTATTGCATAGAAGATGATGGAGGACTTGTAACGTTACCCAAAGGCGAGGAACAATCTACCGAGGGGCAGGTTTTAGAAACGACAGTTGCATCAGTTACGGAAGTTGAGAAGGAAGCACCGCGTCCTGAAACTACAGAGGAGTCGTTCCCAGGTTCTGACAACGTGATCCCTCAAGACCACGTGGCCCCAACTACTGAGGCTCCGACCGAAAGCGCAGCGTCCACGGAAGAACCTAAGAAAGAAGAAGCTCCTTCGGTACATGAAACCGCTGCTCCAGAAACTCCAACTACTGAAAAGGAAACAAGTATATCAGAAGAATATACTACCGAAAGCGCTCCAGCCGTAACGGAAGCATCGAGCGCAGTACCAAAATTGACCGAACCTCCCGAGGAAGCAAAGGGTGAGACAACGGAGGCACCAAATGTAGAAGAAAAGGGCGAAGAAACGGTCACTACACCTGCAGAAGAAACTACTCAAGAAGTAATTCAAACTTCAGCTCCAGAAGAAATACCGGAATCTTCACCAAAAGTGGAAGTTACATCAGAGGAGGTAACTACTGTGAGAGAAGAAGAAAAACCTGAGATGATTACTGAACAAGCAACACCAGAGGAAGCACAAACTGAAGCTAAAGTCCCTGAGGAGGAACAGCCAGAATTACCAAGTGGTGAAAAGAAAGAGGAAGAGAAACCCACGGAAGAGAGCGTGACTGAAGAAATAATATCGAAAGAGGAGCATCCGATCGAAGAAGCTGAAATACCTACGCAAGCACCGGAAGCTCCAAGCGAAGAAAAGGAAGTATCTCCGGTTCTTGAAACAGAAGTGACAACGGCTAAGACTTTGGACGAAGAAGAAGCAACAGAAGCAGCCAAAACTGAAATTCCAGACCACAGACTGTCGACAGAGACACCCACTGAAGAGAAACCAGAAGAAGCTGCAACACCTGAGATAGAAGTAACTACCGAAAAACCTGTCAAAGAGGTTTCAAGCACCGAACAAATCCCTGAACAACCTGAACAAGTTTCTCAACAACCAGAACAAGTTCCTGAAGAAGAAAAAGAAAAGCCAATGGAAGTGAGCACGGAACGACAACCAACAGAGGCGTCTACAATTCCATCAGAATATGGTATAGAAGAAATAACAGAAAGTGCAATGGAACAGAAGACAGAACTGCCAGTACACGAACCTAGCTTGGCTCCCAAAAAGGAGGACATGATTCCTCTTCAATTACCAGAAACTAGCGAGCAACCAACTGTGGTAAGCGAATATCCTTTGGAAGAAGAAACACCTGAAATTCCGGAACACGGTCCTCCAGGTATCTCGATTACCGAACGTGTACCAGAAAGTAAAGCAGAGGATAAAGAAGCAGTAACTGAGATTCAAGTCACAGAAGGTTACGTTGATATGAAGCCACCAGAATTTACTGTACCGGGTAGTCTTGTAACTGAAGCACCTATGCAAAATGCTTCGTCCACGTATTTGCCACCTGTTCAAGAAACAACGATTGCTCCAAAGCATGAAACGGTACCTACGGAAGAAGGAACTACTATACAAGTGCCGGAAGAAGCACCCTCGTCCACTTCGGCTGCACCAGAAAAGGCTGAAGAAGGCGCTCCCTCGGTTACAGAAACTGGTGAAATTCCAGGTGAAGAGAAGGAGATAACAGAAACTGCTCCTAAGGGTACTGAACCTAGCCCTGCAACAGAAATTTCAACGTCAACGTCGGAAGCTGCACAAGAAGTACCTCAACCGACTGAGCAACCGACCTTACCAGAGGAACAGAGTACTGAGATATCATCGTCTGAAGTTTTACCAACGAAAGAAACTTCAGAGGAACAAGAGTTGCCGACAAAGGGATTGACTATCGAAGAATCTGGAGAAACTTCGTCCGAAGAAATGAAAGATTCCAGTGAAGAAGTGAAAGAAAAACCTGAAGAACATGCACCTGAGACACCGGCTCCAAGTTCAACTGAGGTACCTGTGACAGAAAAACACGAAACTGAGCAACCATCTGTCGAGGAACAAACCGTAGAATCCGAGAAGGCAAGTACAGAAGGTGCTCAGGAGACGCCTTCGACGGAAGTTCCACGCGTTGAGGTACCCGCTACGGAAATCAGTGCAATTCCAGAAGAAAAACCTGCTACAGAGCAAGAAGAACAAGGTACTGTTGCGCCAGAAGAAGCTCTGCCAAGCGAAAAGCCTGGTGTCAGTTCCGAAGCACCTGAAGAACAGGCTACTGAGCAACCAATTGTTGAAGAGGAAGTTCCAGTCACTGAGGGAATTGAGGGTGAAAAAATAGGCACGACTATCAGCAAAGATGAGCAACCTGAAACAAGTGAGAAACCTGTGGTTGAAGAAATTCCAAAAGAAGCAACTACTCCAGGAATAGAAGGTTCACCAGCAACTGAGGAAACAATAGAGGCTGAAAAACCAACTGAAGGCATTTTAACAGTTGAAGTTCAACCAACAGTGGAATCGGAGGAAGAACAGAAGACAGAAGCACCAGAAACAACTAGTGAAAAACCAGCTCAGACTGAAGCACCGGTAACTAAAGAAGAAATATCGACTGAAGGAGTGCAAGAAGAACAGAAGACAGAGCAGCCAGTGAAGGAAGAAGGTCCAACTGAAGGACCATTGACTTCATCTCCATCTCCATCGACAGAACAAGCTGTTACTGAAGGATTAGAAAAAGAAGAAACACGTGCTCCCGAGGAACACGTGCCAACTAAACCGCCTATTAGTGAACGCAAAGAAGATGAAATGAGTGCAGAAAGACCACCTGAGGTAGAAGAAGGCGTTCAGAAGCCATCTCCTCTTGATGAAGAGAAGCCAACTGAAAAGCCTGTAGGAGAAGAAGAAACAACAACTGCTGCACAGGAGGAAGCTGGAAAACCTGTTGAAGAAGAAAAGCCAACTGAAAAACCTATCGAAGAAGGAAAACCAAGCGAAGGAACTATAGAAGAACAGAAACCTGGTGAAGAGAAATCAACTGAAACACCTTTAGAAGAAGGACAACAAACTGAAAAACCCACTGAAGAAAAATCTGAGGAAGAAGAGAAACCAGAAGAAGAAGGGCAGAAACCCACTAAAGGACCACTTGAGGAAGGAAAGCCTACTGAAGGACCTTTGGAAGAAGAAAAACCAACTGAAGTATCTACTGAAGGTGAACAACCAGTTGAAGAACAGAAACCGACTAAGATACCTGCTGAAAGTGAACAACCAGCTGAAGAACAGAAACCGACTGAGATACCTGCTGAAAGTGAACAACCAGCTGAAGAACAGAAACCGACTGAAGAATCTAAAGAAGAAGGACAGTCAACTGAAGAACAGAAACCAACTCAAGGACCTATTGAAGAACAAAAACCAGTTACAGAGATACCTACTGAGGAAGGAAAACCAATACCAAGTGAAATACCTGTGGAGAAACCAACGGAACAATCTGTTGAAGGAGGAATACCTTCTCAAGAGGAACAGCAAACAGAAAGACCGGTCGAAAAAGAGGAACCAACAATACCTATGGAACAGAAACCAACTAAGCAGCCAATAGAAAAAGAAAGACCAACTGAAGAACCTGCTGAAGAAGAAAAGCCAACTGAAGAACCTGCTGAAGAAGGAAAGCCAACTGAAGAACCTGCTGAAGAAGGAAAGCCAACTGAAGAATCTGCTGAAGAAGGAAAGCCAACTGAAGAACCTGCTGAAGAAGGAAAGCCAACTGAAGAACCTGCTGAAGAAGGAAAACCAACTGAAGAACCCGCTGAAGAAGGAAAGCCAACTGAAGAACCTGTTGCAGAGGAAAAACCAACTGAAAAAGCTATAGAAGAGATACCAAGTGAAGTGACGCCTTCTGAAGAAACTCCAATATCCGTAGGAGTTTCAACAGAAGGTCCTGCAGCCGAAGAAAAACCTTCTGAAACTTCTGAAGCAGTACCTACAGAACTTCCTAAAGAGGTGCCTGAGAAACCTTCTGAAACTTCTGAAGCAGTACCTACAGAACTTCCTAAAGAGGTGCCTGAGAAACCTTCTGAAACTTCTGAAGCAGTACCTACAGAACTTCCTAAAGAGGTGCCTGAGAAACCTTCTGAAACTTCTGAAGCAGTACCTACAGAACTTCCTAAAGAGGTGCCTGAGAAACCTTCTGAAACTTCTGAAGCAGTACCTACAGAACTTCCTAAAGAGGTGCCTGAGAAACCTTCTGAAACTTCTGAAGCAGTACCTATAGAACTTCCTGAAGAGGTGCCTGAAAAACCTTCTGAAACTTCTGAAGCAGTACCTACAGAACTTCCTAAAGAGATGCCTGAAAAACCTTTTGAAACTTCTGAAGCAGTACCTACAGAACTTCCTAAAGAGGTGTCTGAAAAACCTTCTGAAACTTCTGAAGCAGTATCTACAGAACTTCCTAAAGAGGCGCCTGAAGTAGCGACAGAACTTCCGAAAGAAACTCTGCCCATAGAAAAGACACAAACAGAAGGTATTGCGCCGCAAGAAAAAACAACAGAAACTCCCATTATCCACGAAGAACATTCTACAGAACCTTCTACAGAACCAACTAAACAAGCTCCGATGCAACCTGTCGAAGAAGGAAGCACTCAACAACCAGAACTACCAGCTGAAGCATCAACGGCAGCTGTTCCGAGTGAAACAACCGAACAAGTAGTTCCCGAGGAAGGCATCATGACTGAAACATCTGAAGTATCATCGACTGAACCTACAATTTCTAAAACAACAGTAGCACTTCCTGCAGAAACAACATTACCGGAAGGAGAAGAGAAAATATCTACTCCCGAACAAGCTCAAACTGGTGCTCCACCAAAGGAAGAGGGGACAACGCAAGCTCCTCAGGAGAAGGAAACAGAGGCTCCGATTACAGAAGAGAAAACTCCAGAAACGTCAACATCCAAAGAGGAAAAAATTCCAGAAACTACATCCTATGTAGAAACATCGCCTACTGAACAAGTGGTTGAACAATCCACACAGGCTGGAGATTTATCTACACATGGCCCTTATCTACCACCAACAATTCCAGGAGAAGGCAACTGCCTCATCGAAGGACAATCTTACAGCAACAACTCTGCCGTTCCTCCTGCCAATTCTTGTCAACTTCGATGTCATTGCATTAGTAGTATCATTCAGTGCGATCTGGTTCAATGTCCACCGCCTCCCAATCATTTATCAAACTGTATGCCAATTCATACTAGCAAAGATTCTTGCTGTCCGATGTACACTTGCGACTCGACGCCTACAGCAGTATTGGAGTCTGATAATCATATGATCGAACACAAAACGCCTAAATACGAAGAGGAACAGAAGACTGTATCACCTGCAGTCACTGAAGTTCCAATAAAGGAAGGCATGACGGAAGCTGTCAAAGAAGTTTCGATTACAGTAGCACCAGAAACACATGCACCTGGCAAAGAAACGAGCGAAAAGATACCCACACCCAGTTTGCCCGAAGGAACGCAAACGACACCAAAATCTGCCGAACCTGAGCACGTACAAACGACCATTGGAGAAGCTGCCAAAGAACCTGAAGAACACACACTTAGTCCAGTACCTCCGCAGGTAGAATCTTCTAGTCAAATACCTTTAGAAGAAACTTCGCCAGAAATACCAAGCATTTCCACGAAGATCCCAGAAGAAAAAGAACAGGTAACGAAAATGCCATCTACTGAACAGCCGATTCCTGAAGGACAGGTTCCTGAACAGCAACCATCAAGTCCTGCGGCGGGTGAAGAACAGACAACAGAAGGAGTTCAAGAAGAACAAACTTCTGTTGGAACTGAAAAAGAAGCTGCTACTACAGTGAAACCATCGACTGAACAACCGTCCGTTCCACCCACTGAAGAAGAACAGAAACCCACAGAAAGTGAAGAACAAATAACTGTCTCTTCTGCTATACCAGAAGAAGGTATAAGCAAAGAGCCTGAACTTCCAAGCTCCTCCATAGTACCAGAAGTTACGTCAGAAGGGACTGAAACTCAAGGACCACTAGAAGGAATTACTTTGAGTCCAGAATCGGTAACACAACCTGAAGAAGAGAAAATGAAAGAACCTAAGCCATCTGAAGAAGAAAAACAGTCTGCTCAACCTGAACAACCCACTACAGAAAGTGAATTACAAACTGTCCAAACTGGTGAAGCAGAGCCTGAAAAACCATCCGTTGAAGTATCGACTCCAGAAGGTGTAACAGCAGGTGAAGGACAAGAAGCAACTCCAGTCGAACAGGAAACTCTTAAACCAAGTGAAGGTGAAGCACCTGTAACCACAGAAATGGAAATATCCACAGAAGAAGCACCTGGTTTGACTAAAGAAAGACCAAGTAGCACTGAAATACCTGAAGAAGAAGCAACAGCGTCATCAATTGAGAGTGCAGAAACTCCACAGGAACCAGAAGCTGTCCCAAAGAAACCAGAAACTATTCCAGAAAAAGAACATGCCGTGCCAGAAGGAACTGAACAGCCCTTGATACCTACTACTGCAGAAACCAAAGAAACAGCCACACCTGAAAGTGCTGCTATCACGGAGACTGTTGAAGAGTATACTGAATCTCCTGGAGAACAACCTGAGAAGGTATCCGAGGAACAAGTACCAAGTTCTACCGAAACCGCTGAGATAAGCACTGAGCAACCATTGAAATCTACTAAGACAGAAGAAACGACTGAAAAGGAGGGAGTCACTGAAGAACAACCAATTACAGTTAAAACAAGACCTGAAGAAGAAGCGGCGTCATCTATACCTACAGAGGAACAACCTGAAGTAACACCAGCAATGGAAGAACAAACTCCAGAGCCTGTTTTACCTCCTAAAGAGGAAGCTACACCATCTACGGAAGCTCCTGTGTCTCAAGAAGTTAGTACAGAAGGAATCCTTGAAGCTAGTACATCTTCTGAATCAACTTTGCCGCAGGAACAAACTGAACAGCCAGCAACAGAAAAGGAAATTGAAACATCAGCACCTGAAGAAGCTGTCACAGAAGGAATCAAGGAACAACCTATTCAACCAGAGGAACAACCGACTACTGAGAAACCTCTTGGTGAAGTGGCTGCAACTTCGGCACCAACTGAGATTCCAGAACAGGCAACAGAAAAAGAAGAGCAAGTGACTGAATCTGTAATATCTGAGAAAGAAACTGCAGTGCCAATAGTACCTGTGGAAGAACAGAAACCTGAAGAAGAAACTGAGAAACCGATTGTAAAAGGTGTACCACCTGCAGAGACAACCGCGATGCCTGAAGAAGGTGAAAAAGCTACACCTGTGAGCGAAGAACAACCTAGTGAAACACCGTCCCCAGTTGTAAAAGAAAGTTTCACACCAGCACCAGAAGAAATTTCAGTTTTACCAGAAGAGCAGGAACCTGTAACAGAAGGTAAAATTGTAACTGCGCCAAGCGAAGTAAGTCCAACTTCTGAAGAACAACCTTCTGTGACGGAAAAGAAACCAGAAGAAGGACCAGAAATAACGCAACAAACTGAAGCACCGTCTATGGCAGAAGACACGGAAAAACCAGTGGAAGAAGAACAGGTACCAACTGAAGGAAAATTAACTCCAGAGGAGACTGGTTCTACTGAAATACCAGAGAAAGGAACGACCCAAGAAACGCCAGAACAAGAATTATCTGAGAAACCAGAGAAAACACTTCCAACTGAGGGACCTGTACAAGCTACTGAAGCTCCTGAGAAGACAGCACCTTCTACAGAAATTCCAGAAATTCCTTCTGAGATACCAGAAAAGGCAGCTACGACTGAAGCATCTGAGAAAGAATATTCGACCGAAGCTCCTGTAAAGGTAACCTCTACAGAAATGGTTCCAGAAGAAAAAGTTCCGGAAAAAGAACTTCCTGGTGAACTACCAAGTGAATTGCCAGGAGAAGCAATTACTACTGAAGCAGCAGAAAAGGAACTTCCTAGTGAAATACCAGAGAAAGAACCGGAAGAACAAACTACAGGAGTACCTGTGCAGATTATTCCTGAACAACCAACTGAAGTGACAGAAAAAGTTCTTCCAGAAGAAGAGAAGCCTGATAAAACAACAGAAAAGACTCTTCCTGAAGAGGAGAAACCTGGTGAAGTAACTGAAAAGGTTTCCGAAGGAGAAAGGCCAGTCGAAATTGAACAACAAACGATGGAACCCGAGAAAGAAGTTCCTCAAACTACGGAAGGCATTTCGTTGAAGGAACAATTCCCTGAACAAGCACCAGGAACGACTGAAACTCCTCAAATTGAAGAAAAGACGACTAAACTTCCAACCACTGAAGAAGAATTAGCACAGCCAACTACACCAGAAGCTGAAATCGAAGCAACATCTCCTCAAGAAGGAGAACCTTCAACTGAAGCTACAGAAGCTCCAGCTGCGCCTGAAGTGCCCGAAACTACAACAAAGGCAGCTGAATCAAGCCAACCATCAGAAGAAGCACAAGTAACGGAAGCACAACCTATTGTAACAGAAGCACAGCCTGGCGTAACGGAAGCACAACCTGGCATTTCAGAAGCTCAACCTTCTACCGAGCCAGCAATCGAAACTTCAACGGAGCGCAAAACGGAAGAACAGGCTCCAGAAACTGAAAAAGCTCCCGAGGAAGAGCATATAGCCCCAACCGAAGAGCCTCAACAAACACTTCCTGAAGAGCACAAAGAAGAAGAGAAACTTTCGATAAAGCCTGAAGAAGGGCAACAGGCAACCGAGGCTCCTCTCGAAGAACCCATCACGAAAACTCACGCACTTCCAACGGAACCATCTCTACTTGAATCAACCGAAGAAGAACAAGAAGAAGAGACGGAAGAACACAATGGATTGCCAGAAGGTCCTTCGTCGACCGAAAAAGAAGAACCATCCGAAGGCCAATTCCCAGTTGGAGTCGACGAACATCTTCCACCGGCAACTGTGCAACCGCCTTCGAGCACTCTAGCTCCGCAAGTTCCTGAATATCCGGATCAATCAGTGACTGGAGAAGACAATCCACACTTCCCTACACACGGTGGTAGCTACTTGAATCCTGACGAAGACTACGACGAAGATGATCAAGCAATTTACGGACCGGGCACTTGCCGATATGGCGGCAAGGTTTACGTATCGGCGCAACAAATTCCAAGAGACGACCCGTGCGATTTCTGCTTCTGCTTCAGAAGCGATATCATTTGCCTGCAACAGAGCTGTCCACCGCCGATCCCAGGTTGCCACGAGGAACCGATCAATGGATTCTGTTGCCCGAGATACGAGTGTCCTGTGTCAATGGCCACGTCGCTTAACATCACCACGACGACGACGACGACGACGACGACATTGCCACCGCATTTCCATGCTCACGCCTACAAGGGAGCCGCGAAACGAAGCGGCTGTCAAATTCGCGGACAAGCGTACCGCGTCGGAGAAGTGATTAGGTCCGCGTCTGGACCTTGTCTTCAGTGCACGTAAGTTATTCATATTTGAATGTTCCTCAAACTACCACAAATTATAATATCTTCTACTTGTTAAGTGTAAAATTTTGGAATCCTTTTTACGTTTTTACAATTAATGAAACAAATGACTATGGATTTCAGTTGCGGTGGTGACGGCAATATGAAGTGTGATCCACGAGTGTGTAGCCCGGAGCCGATGTTGAGGCAAATGATCGCGGCGGCCACGGCCAGAAGGAGAAGATGAGCCGGTCAATACGATCCCGGGGATCCATCGAACAAGCATATACACAAGGAAGTCTAGAGAGTAGGATCAGTGTTGTATAAAAGTGAATTAAAAATATTCTAAACTATCGAAATGTCGCGGGAACACAGACTATAATGTGCTTCGGCGATTATGAACTGAGTGGCCAAAACCGTAAACGTTTATATTATAATATTATATTATATTATATAAAGAGAAGAAAGAAAAGAGAGAGAGAGAGAGAATGAAATAGAGATAGGAACAGAGAATGAGAGAGAGAGAGCGTGCGCGCGAGAGAGAAATTGATGAGCGTGTAATGGAAGGGACTAAAGAAAAAGAAAAAAACAAAAAAAAAAAAACGAGGGAGAAAGAAATGAAGAATTTAGCTACGTAAAACAAGGCTCGTTTTTAGTGCCAAACGTGAAACAGAAGGAAGCAAACCAGTGGAACCAGTGGGAGAGGGATATGGTGGAAAAATATTTCGTGATAGTTCCACATCTTACGCCATTATTTCTTTTTTCGTCTTTTTACACGTAAAAATGATGGTTCTAGAGAGGAAGAGAAAAAGCGATTAATGAACAAAAAAAAAAAAAAAAAAAAATGTTGCTGAACGTACGAGACTTATGACTGTGCCTTCGTCAGTGTCGACAACAGCGGCACTTAAACTTTCGTGACAGCCAAACAACACGGTGCTGATTCTAGGCCGCGATCATCGTCGTTGAAGCTTGACACTTTTCGTCAACGAGGAAATCGTCATTAGAAATTAAATATGGTGATGGGATACAAAGGATAAAAGCGTTTCAATGGAACGCAACCAAAAAAATAAATAAATAAATAAATAATAAAGCGAAGAGAAAATATACGACCACGCGATACGATTTCTCGTACAGTGACATTGTAACAGCAATAGCAAAGATCGTATGAGGGATAATCGCGAAATGTTTTTCTTGGAGTGAAGCCTCATTGATTTCCCACGTACGATCGAACTCGTGGGAATTCGATTCACACGACGAGAAATGTAAGCGCCACGTAGAAACGTTGCTCTTGTAATATCACTGTAGGAAACTTGAACAACGATGATCCACGGTCATCTACCGTTACGATCGCGACAGATCTAGATCGTTTCATGGCTGACACGCGTCGTGCGCTAACGATCAGTCCACATTTACTCACGTCTGCTGATGTTCACGTGTGCTTGAATACATAGAACATTAGAAATATCAACGCCCTTAATTCATGACAAATTTTCCAGTCGATAATTTCAATTGTTTTTTACGCACAAACATTTCTTTATAAAATTTCTTAATAAAAATTCGCCTTCTTGTTAACTGACGTTAATGGTAGAGGAGATATAACGAAGTCATAAAATCGATCAGGTATTAAAATTTCATACGATGTTGATTGCACTTTGTATTATATTTAGAAAAGTTTATATACTATATTAATCCCATCAACTGTACTTGCGCGAAATTCTTTTCGCGTGAAAAATCCGCGCAATAAACCAAGATTGTATTCGAGCATGCGTATCTGCGTGTGTGCGTGCGTTTGTGTGCATGGTACATTTATACGTTAAAGATAGAAAGAAAAAAAAAAGAAGAAGAAGAAGAAGCAAGAAAGACAAGACGAAAGGTACGCGTATCTCAAAGCTCAAACAGCGGCTCGCGCGGAGGACCGATCGCGAATTTGCTTCTCCGGCGAGCTGGCGTCATTATACATATATATATAAATATATATATATAAATATAAATATATACATTTATACGATTCTTTATATACACTGTACCCCCTTAAAATAATAACACTTAACGATGTTCTATACGTTTGTACGAAAGTATATTAATTATAATCTATAGAATGATCGTTCTTCGTTCTCTAGTCTCAAAGTGTCGCGGGATCGATTGTGGGTCTACGATAGAAACCTGTTATGCCACTTCACTCCCGCGATTTATCAGTCAATTAGAATTTGATACCAACTTTTGCTAATAAGCTATACCGCGAGGAGAAATACAGCCGAGAAACTAAGTGGAAGAGTGTTCGTTCACGTGTAGAAGGAGCCAGAATGTGGAACACGTCGTGACAAACGCTTTGAGACTCCGGAACCTGGAGCCGTTTTTTTTAGATGTAATAGAACGAACGCTAATTATCGCAGAAATAACGCGCAAATAAGTGTCTCTGTAATTTATAATACGAACGAATAGACCATACGCGTCATAGTTCTGTGTCTTCCTGGAAAATACTGTCTTCTCAAGCGAATCCCGTCGATCCTTTTTCCGTGTGTACACGTTCGTCATTTAGCTCGTAATCCACATGCGAACGGTGAAGTTTTTCGCGGGAGAAACGCGAGTAATAAATAAAGAAGGAGAATTTCTGTTGAAAGAAATTAAAGAAACGCATTGTAACCATAGTGCTTCCAATGGCAACTCGATCGTGATACAAGTGGCCATATTATTACTGTCACTGTCTCGAAGATTATCTTTACATGCGTAAACACGCGATAATAAAGTTACAATACATACAATTTGTCCTTTCTTTTATAAGAGTCATCTTTATATCTTAAACCGTCTATACGCGATTTGTACGAGAATGGTAGAAATTTTTAAATTGAATATGAAATACAGAAACGATGTTGCATTAGAATTCATTGCAGTATGTGTCTTATTTTTCGATTTAGAACTTAAGGAGCATTTAAAATAAAATAGAATTCGATATATGGGCTAATATAAAATTAATCGGGCTGAACATTCGAAATGAAAAATTTGACTGATAATCTAGGCTAAATTGATAATCTAAATCAATCAACACGTTCAGTGCATGTTTCTTGAATCCGAATTGCCGTGTACTTGATATTGTACATGATATTCATGTGGATGAGAGAATTGTACTGGAAATCATGAAATTTTAAAAAGAACTTTTGTACTAATTTCGTGAAAAATACGTTTTGCAATAAAAAAAAAATAGCTTCGTTTGTAAATGATTTATGAGCATATGGCATTGTAAATAGCAAAGATCGCGTTAACATAATAAAATACTTTTTATAATTAAAGCACGGTCGGGTAGCCGCATCACGTTTAAAAAGCGTAAATTCTTATTGCAATTATGAAACAACTATGTTGAACATAATTGGTAAAAAAAAAAATACAATTTTAAACATGAAAGCTAACAGAATTCGGTAACCTTTAAATATAATTTCCCTTGCGATTAAACGAAGACTCATTTTTCAGTAATTTGCGAAGTTTATCAGAGATAACACGATAGAATTGCTCGCAAAACGGTTTATTAGCGTACGAACGAATCGTACCAATTCTGTACTTACGCGCAATTGAATCGGGTTTTTTATAAGCTAACGATTCTAGTAATTAATCGAGCCTAGTATTTATCTTAATATTCATTCATAGTGAATAGTACATAATACGAACCAATATGCAATGAGATTGTAAACTAAATCATCAAATAGTGATATCAACTAATATCACAGTGCTGCGAACATGTTAAATTCTGCCTCAGAATTCATAATGACTAATTTTATAGTATATAATCTTATTCCATCTATTCAGTAAAAAATTTAATAATTTTTTAGTAATTATAAATTAAACTATGATAACTAAAATTTAATGTTATTAAATAATAAATAAAAATTTTAATAATATAATAATTCTACCAATCTGTTCTGCTTTTACTATTAAGAACTTTTACAATCTCGTTACATCGTGGTTTGTACTATATCGAAGATAAAGCGAATACACATTGAGTTGATAGTACGTTTATATGACATGCATGTATAACTCTAACGTAAGATATATTAATTGTGGTGAACACATAGGATGCATGTAATTAATTAATGCGTGCTCGATGTTGGCAAAGATCTTCCCCGTTGTGCGAGAAACCAACCGATTCGTCGACGGATGCGTCTTTTATTAACGAGTCACGTAACTTTTTATACATATTATAAATATATATAAATATATAAATATATAAATATAAATATATAAATATATGATATTTATACACAGAATGACCAATTTTTATCTGGTGCCAAAAGTTTTCTAGCGCGAGCGTTTTAACTACGTGGCAATCACCATTTCTTCGATCTTGGAGATCAATTTTGCAACGGATAAACGAACTATGGATTTAAATTGATCATGCTGTGAATAGCGAAACGAACAGTAACTATGCACAGTACGCGAATATACTCAAAATGCTCGTGATCAATTTCTCGAACATTTCTTCTTCCTTTGTCTTCCTTTCTTTCTTTTTATTCCTTCGTTTTTCTTCTTTTTTTTTTTTTTTTTTAATCGATTATCATCAACCAGAATGACAATTATTATTCTCAGCATAATCCGTGTACAATATGTGATACATAAAAGAAACAAGCGAATCGAGGAACACTCCGATGGTTCCCGACTGTATGGAACTGTAGATTTGATAGTACGTGCTAGCATAAAGTGTCCTTTTATACTGAATAAACGATTTTGTATGTCAAACTCCTATCTACTCTCTGATTCTCACTACCTTCCCTTTTAAGGGGATGTTGACGGTTCAATTTAAATGATATCCAAATAAGTTTTCATTCAGAGATAATAAAAAATAATTACTTAAAAATTACTAATACATTTCGTATATATAGATACATATTTCATATACATCATTAAAGTTCTTACTATTAACAGCATAATTAAAAGGAAAAAATACTAACCTAATTTATTTGCTTTCTCTTCGTTACTTCTATCTGCTTATTTTGTTTTCAATGAAATCGATTGAATTCCGAAAGATTATGTTCACGATCACTACTTTATATTTTGCAGCTATATGAATATATTGAAATTCTTCTTCATTGAAATTTAACGTCTACCATCGAACATTAATAATCTGTAGTTTGCTGAAATATTTCGAAATTTTTTATATCGAGAATATGTTAGAAAAAGAGTGAAGTTCAAATTAATTTATCCCTGTATTGCAAATTATGTGTAAAAATAATAATAAAAATGAATAATATTTGTTATATTTTTAAATCTTTTGGTCTTGAGACGTTTGAAAGTATAGGATCAAGCACGAAGAATATATCATTTAGTTCAGTTAATTTAAGAAAATAAAAAGTAAAAATAATATTAAAAATGATAACGCAGTAAACACTGATTCTACCGACCGATTCTATTACATAATGCGCACGATCACAAGAATTCTTCAAAAAAAAATTTTTATTAGAAATAAGAGAAAAAGAAATAAAATATTCTTTTTCATATTTTTTTATTATTTATTTATCAAAAATATCATATTAGAAATATAAAATATTTTTAATATTCCCAATATTGTTGAATCCGCAATATAACTAATGTACTAATCAAACATGGCGCGCGTTAAACAGAACTGCGCAATATGTAATGCGCAGAATACGTTAAAATTTATATGTAATAACATGTCTTCCGAAATACAATATCTATTATTGAAAGAAATCACCAATTATCCAATAATGAAAAAATAAATATATAAATACATTTACCTTCATTAGAATAAGTTAAATGTTAATTCGTTGAATCATCTGTTCGGCATTGTAATATTCTCAAACTTCTGCTCCTTCGATATCAATAATAAATTAATAATCTGTAGAAATACCAAATATGTATTTAGAATAAATGTATTCCATTTTTATATTAAAAAAAAAATAATAAACTAATGAAATATTGAATTCTGTCTTAAAAATTTACAATATGTATAATATAAATTATTGGTAATCTTTACAATCAATATTTCAAAAAACTATTTAATTTCACAATGATTCTAACTAATAAATTATCAAATAAACATGTATTAATTAAATGAAGCTAGTAGCAAACAATAAACAGTAATAGAATAGTAATAAAAGTACTACGTAATTGAAATTACGTACCTTAACAGAGTGAGATGTTAGCACCATGTTCTGCAACAAGAGACTAACGCTTGGCGCCAAAACGTAACGTTTCTGTCTTCTGATTGGCTATAGCGATGAACATAACTGTTCTGTGATTGGCTAGAATGCGATACTCTTATATGCAAAATCACGCGCAAAATTTAAATATTTACGTAAGAATTAAATAAAAATAAATAAATAAATTATTATATATTGTTACCATATCTCTAAACTATCGAAGATTGATAAGAAACCGAATATTGATAAAAAGTGAGGTATAAATTTGTAATTGAAAATAATTTCTAAATGTGTAGAACAACAAATTGTATAGAATTAACAAAACATATTTAAACAGTCGATATTTAAATTATTTTTATGCAAATTTAAATTGAAGAATTTATTTTTCGTATATTGATAACCTTACATTCAGTCACTAGTAGCGTCTGGCGGGAATAGTCATGTGATGACATTAGTAGTTGTGTTTCGTGTTAAATGTTATTAACTATTTGATTACAGCACAATAAATAATATGCACATTTGTCTATTCCATTACAGTTTAATTAAACATCATAATAAATCCATTTATTATAATCACTAGTAAAACGCATATACGCTATTAATGAAACTAGAAAATTCATAACCTCGAAAGAAAAGGCAGATACTTAAGAATTGTGTGTAATTTGTGTTATCTACAAGAATCTTCATAATGGATATCGTAGCAACGCAAGTTTATGAAGATTACGATTCCACGCCGACACAAAAAGTTTCTTATTCTACTCAACAAGATAACGTACAGGTAAAAATAAATCTTTATATTTTTAATATTTATCCAGCTCTTGATATTGTTTCATTTTATTTTTTTTATGTTAACTGACTATTGTTTATCGACTATTGTTTGCTACATATTATTAACTGATTATTGTTTACTATATATTTTTAATATTTACAAATTTTCTTATAAAAAAGCAATTATCTATGAAATATTTTAGATTGGAGTGCTATGCATAGATTCTACCACATTTCCAATTAAAAAAGGAATTAATCAAATTGGCAGACATCCAAATTGCTGCATAGTATTAGATAATCCAGTAAGTATTCTATATGTATATATACGTAAAATTTAGATTTTTAAATGAATGTATTCACATTTCTATAGACATAATCAAGTTAGATTACAAATTAGTCATTTTTAATATTCTCTTGCTAAATATAAAAAAAATACATTGTTTTAAACAAATGTAAATGATTGAAAATGCATATATTTTATATCATGTTTAATATTTTGTATATTTTTATCTTTTATATACATTTAAACAGTTTTGTTGCATGAATGATGTGTTAAATAATTTAAGAATAAAAACATCATTTTAATAAACATAATTTTAATAAATGTACTTTTACAACAAAATTATTGAAGTAAAGTTTATGTAATTTAATAAAAATTGGTAGAGAATATTCTTACAATTACATTATAATTCTTCTCTCAATGTATCTGATGCAGTATTTAATCTATTTTCATTAAACTTAATAGAATTCCAAAAATCTTTCTGACCAAAGTTTGTACTACTGTCCATCTGAATTTTATCTGGCCCAGCAATATGCAAATAATTAAGTGATTTTTCATTTGGATTTAGTCTTGACCATTGAGAATCACCAACATTTGGCACTCTAAATTAATTTGAAAATATAGATATATAACAATATAACAGAAGTTGTTTTAAATAATAATGTATTCCTGTAAATTATTTAATGCATACCATTGAATGTATATACTGACCTATTTGTTGCAAATGATACCCAGAGATCAATCAAAATTTTTTGCATTTTAATATCACTTGATGTTGTTGTAGGATCAATGTATTCAGTGTCTACGACAAAATATGCATCATCTGCATGGCTCACACCTATACAAAATATTTAATAAGTACATCCATTCTCTTGTCATTTTCTAAGTTCTAAATTTGAATAATATACCATAATTGTTAGTAGTTCCACTCAGACTGTTACTGAGACTATGTACACCTCTGTAGGTATAATAATAATACCAAACAGGTTGTTTATTAACTTTAGCCTGCATTCTAGCAGCTTTTTCACTATCGACAACAAAGAATCTATCACCAGCTACGTGAACTAAGGATTGCGTTGTTGTGTCATCAATTTTCTTTGATCCAAAATAATGATTTCGGATGAGTTTAGCAACTTCAACGTGCTTTTCTCTAGGAATTGTGTAATTATAATCAAAGAAATGAGGTGCAATAAGATCCCAATTTTCGTCCAACGTTTTCAGAGCTTCTGGTATGGCGATAAATTCTGTAAAATTCGGGATTTTAAATCAAAATTATTTGAACACTTCTTGATTTTTATCATCGTATGTTTCTTACGGGCAACTGGATATAATCCCTCTTCACTGGTAACCCCAGTTATCCATGGAACATCTTGAACATCACCGCTACTCACGATTTCAACGGGAGTACGATCGATAAATGGTTCATCACCGAATTTCTCCGGAATTGGACCAAATGGAGTAAATGGATTATAATAAAACCGCTGAAACCAAATTGTTAATTTTGAAATAACAACTACATTGGTGATATTAATATACTATTAATAGTGATATAAAACGATAATAAAAAATGCCTACCATATAATTACCAAGAGCTTGTACTACAGTTTTGGATGGACGATATCTGAGACAACGCACCATCTCTCTGGTGTTACCTGTGGGACAACCCATAAGAGCACCCAATTTCTTGGCTTTCTCTAAAGAATTCTCTGTTTGACCCCAACAATCGAAAGCTGTACCGCTGATCGAGATACCACCTGTATCAAGAAATCATACAAAAGATATGTATATATCCTTAAAAAAAGGATCAAAAATTCTTTACAATGAAATATAAACACATTGAAATAATAATATAAATAAATGACTATAAATAAGATGATTTTGTAAACACCTTGGAAAAGACCAGCGCTCATAGGTGATAAGTAGTGATAATGAACACTAACACCGCCAGCACTCAAACCCACCAAAGTCACTTTCTTTGGATCACCACCGAACCATTCGATATTTTCTGAAACCCATCGTAGTGCCATGCTTTGATCTTTCAGTCCCATGTTACCAGGAATTATTTCATCTTCAGTGCTGAGAAAACCTGAAAAAATTACAATTGTCTTTAGGAAAATCACAATTATTTATAACCTTTATAATTCAAAGTTAAAAAATCTTCACTACCTAACATTCCTAAACGATAATTAATTGTAACAAATACGACGTCACGATCCATGAGATACTTAGCACCCATGAGCATTCCACTACCATACTGAAAAGCACCGCCATGGATCCAGAAAATAACTGGCAACGATTTAGAGGATGTTCTTGTATCCGCGGGAACATAAATATTCAAATAAAGACAGTCTTCAGCACCTTCGACTTCATCGTCTGGATTAGAAGGCAGTTGAGTATATTGCAAACAAGGAGACCCAAACTTCGTCGCGGGAAGCTCACCCACCCATGGTGGTAGTCTTTGAGGAGGCTAAAAAAAATTTTTATCCTCATTTATGATCTAATAAGTGCAGCTTTAAATTACATAACATAAACAGAATAATCACAATACTTCTTTGCAACATTTGTACGTTATAAAACTGGTTCTTTACCTTGAATCGAAGTTTGCCAACCGGAGGCAAGGCATACGGAATTCCTTCGTAGGCTTCGTACTGTCTTCCATTGGCAGATACCTTATAATATCCCTTAATGGCTCCCAGAGGAGTTTTTATCCTAGGCGCATCCTCTAGGGTCCACACCAGGGTCGTAAGAGCGGGAAGAAGTAGAAGAAACGATAGTCTTGCCATCTTTTCTAGAATGATGCTGCCTCGACTATTCCCATTTATTTATCGTGAGCGTTTGCTTGCTTGTGTTGAATTAAATTACGTACACCAACAAAGTGCATCGATATGAAATCTTCGTACGTACAAGAGTTCACTTTTGTATGTAAGCTGTTAAATATTAATCTCCCTACTTTGAATTTCATTGGTAATTATCAACATTAGTCAAGAATAGGTCGTAGTACTTAACTCTTGAGTAAATGTTACATATGTATACATGAACAGAATATATATAGATAAGTCTATGTATGTTGGTGTAAGATTTTGCTTTTATTAGTCATTAGATACGATAAGATAAAATTGCTGCATTGTTCATCTAGAGAGGGAGAACTCAATTTACTTTAACTATTTTAATAAAATGTCATCCAGCATAAGATCAGTCAACTACTCGAATAAATTACTATCAATCGATGAATCAATTGCGAAGCTTAGAAGCCTAATAATTATAAAACTATGATTAGTGTAATTCACTTGACTATTGCAATTCTACTTCTAAATAGATATAATGTCAGTAAATAAGAAATTAATTAGTAAATATAATGTTGTAAATAGGAAATTATATATTTTTAATTGTCCTAAAAATATTATTGAAAATGTTAAAAATTTTATAAATTAATGTTAAAATTTTATAAATTAAGAAATTTATTATTATATTTATACATTAAAAACAATTATTTTTATTAATTTTATATAATAAATATTATCTATAAAATTTTTAGAGTTATCATAAATTACATAACGGAGTATATTCTATATATAATCACATTTTAGATAACATATCAAATATTTTTTGTATAAACATGTGATATTTACAAGTTACACATTAAAATTTCTGAATAACAGAGATAACACAATTAAAGATATGTACATTCTTGCATGTATTGGTATTTCGCTCAAAGAGAATGTACTTAGTTTAAAAATTTTATAATCATGTATGTTTTTTATTTTACTTTTTGTAACTATGTTTAAAATGAGATAAAGAGAAAATATTTTAGTTATCGAATTATTTACAAAATTTTGCTATTAAGTTCATGTAAATGTATAAAATAATAAACATTATTGTAAAGACATATTATAAATATATGTTAAGTTATTTTTTGCTCTTAAAGATCTCATGTACTCTGTCTATTTTTAGTCCATATCTTTATTTACAATTTTAGATAAAATGTGAAAAACTGCAGTAATTGTTATCAAACTGTAGCACATCACAAGTATTCAAGTGACTATAGTAAAGAAAATTTAATTTACAGACCGTATCTAAGAAACACGCGGAGATCGAGGCTAATAGTTGTGAAACTGCATCATGGATTTGTGACCTGAATTCTTCTAACAAAACAAAATTAAATAATGTAATGTAAATTTTATCTATATTAAATTTAATTGATTTCAATCTCTATTAAACTTTTATTAACAAGCTAAAATAAGATCAAATTGATTCTTTATATTATTCTCAAAACATTGTCTTTAATTCGTTATTCAATTTTATACAGTAAGTTATTCATTATTGCAGTTGTATGTATATAGTTTGATATAATTTAATATTTCATCCTTTTCTTTTTTTGTGCAGTCAATTTTGAGACCAAACCGTTGCTACGAGCTCAAAACTGGAGACGTATTGGAATTTGGTTTGGTACGAGCAATTTTCAAAGTTTCTCCTCCATTGGATGATTCCTTAATACCAGACACACCAGCATTAAATCATCAGAAAACCCAGCAAAGGGTCATTCCAGGGACACCTGATTCATCATTGGTAATTATCATTTATGTAATTTCATGATTATATAAATGAATATATAATAAACAGAAAATGGAAAATTATAAAATAAAAGTACAAATACTAAAATGTACAGAATATGCCAAGTGTTTTGTATGAAATGAGGTCAACATATTTTATGAATAAGAATATGATATAAATATATACTAATAAATTATTAAAACGCTATAGCAAACTTATTTTGCTATAACACATTTTTGTTATAACTTCATAATACTGACACTACTTTACGAAAAAGAATGAAATATCCTGTATATTATCTTAGATATTATATATAGATAAATATATTGTATATTATTAAATACATATTTTTTATATAGAACAATTCATCCGCAAACGTTTCTCTAATTCCTGCCACCCAAGATGAAAGGAAAAAATCTGTATTTCGATATCCAACATTGCCTCTGAGGACTTCTACTACCAGCATTCGGAAAAGCGTTCAAAACTCTTCTATCGATGATCAAGATAATTCTCAAAGTTTCGGTGTAGAAAAACAAAACGTAGGTGAATCGAGAATTAGTATTTACGACATGGAGACGCAAACCTTTTCGTGTAATTCTTATAATGAAACGAATATTGATAGTATTTTAAATAGCAAAAATCTTACAAAATCTGTACAGGAACAAAATGATATGGGAAAGCAATCGAAAATAGGAGCACCAGAAGAAGTTACTGATATTCATGATATAGAAACGCAACACGATATAGATTTTCATGATATTGAAACAGCCAAAAAGATTAATATTCATAATTTTAAAACTCGAGATAATAGTATCCGAGATAGTGAAAAACTTGAAGAGACAGGAATTGAAGAAGAAAAAAATTCAACAATGGAAGGGAGAAGTAATGTTAATAATACAATAATACAAGAAAAGAAAGATAATGATAGCACATCACATTGTAATATCACTAATAAAGATAAAAATAAAAGTGAAAAATTGTCAGATATTGAGAATGATTTGCAAAAACGTGTAGAGATTGTTGAAACAAGCGAAGATGATGCTTCCGATTTTGACATGAGTCGAAATTTGCTTAGTCCAAAAGATTTAGAAGAGTTTGAAGAATATATTGAGGATGATAGCCTATCCGATGAATTAAAATCAAGATCACCGACTTCTATAAAAGTTTCATGCGTAAATGATGATAGCGATGTGAACAGTAAAAGCATCGATAATGAAAACATATATGAAGCAGCAACACAGGTCAATAAAATTGATAAGAATGATTTCAGAGTACCTTTAGTTGATGATTCTGATGATACCGATAATGAAGTTGTATTTCAAAGGTATTCGCGCAATGACAGCCAAGAAAGTAAAAAATCTTCAAAGAGTCAAGCATCTAATAGCGACGATTCAGTTACGGATGAGGAAGGTCACTTCACAGAAATAGCTGCAAAGATGAAAAAAGCTATAGAAACTTCATTAGAAATACGATATAACAGGAGTAAAGAAATGAAGAACAGTAATTCAAGTAGAGATTCTGAGGATCTGTTCAACATGCTTACTCAACCATCAAAGAAGAATGAAGATTTATCATCCAAATGTAATAAAAAACTAAAAGATAATGAAGATGAAAATGAAGTAGATTCTGATAGTCCAACACAAGTAATTGACAAGAAAAGTACTAATATGGAAATAAGTAAGAATATAGGAATAGAAGAGATCGATGATATGGTATCAACTCAAATTCTTCCAATGAATAAATCTTCCTTTAGAGAAACTAGTTCTATTATTTCAATCAGAAACAATAAAAATTCAAGTGAAGAAGATATTACTGAAATGGAATACAACAGACCTACTCAGATAATTAATACTGAAGAAAAAGCGCTGTACGCGAGCAATAACAATCGTCTTATTTCGTCAAATTCTTCGGTATTAATTACAATGGAAGAATATAATACTGAAAACATCGATTACGAAACGGCATGTACTCAACCAATTGGTGATATTGAGAAACAAACATCTGTGCCATCAGTTACTGATAAGAATGAAAACAAGTCAAAATCGACTACAATGAATTTTGATGATAGCGTAGAAAGGAAATTGAAAGTAATGTTTGAAAATACAATGGAAGAACATATTGAAGATCAACCACAAATATCAATACAGGCTCTTGAAAATATATTAGAATTGTCACAAAGTGGGGATGAATCACCTAATGTAAACAGCAATTCAACAGCTAGCAGAAAAGCAAAGAAATCTAAAAAAGGAAGAAAAAGCAAAACAGCAATAGTTAAGACAAGTCCCAGTTCTGTATCGCATAAAAAAAGTTGTAATTCTCCTCTTTCTTTACGACAACATAATATTGCAAATTCAGAGTCTGTCAGAAATATAATTAACGAAGAAAGTGAAAAAGAAACTGAAGATTTATTAATATCAAACTCTATGCCTACAGATTTGTCAACGCCAAAATCTACAATTGAAAATCCATTGACTCCAAAATCTGTGTGTAAATATCCTTCAACATCAAAATCTCCCAAAGATCCATCAACACCAAAATCATTAAGGCAAAAACATCTCAAAGAATCAAAAATAGTTAAAACGTATCAAGAAAAAACTAATACGGTTAAAAACGATAACGATAAATTAAAGAATTGTGTAGAGAATGTAGATGATCAAGAATTGGGTACATCGAACGGTGAGCAACTTCAACAAATCTCTAAAATACTAATAAGCGAAGATGAAGATATATTAGCCGGTTTACCTGAAGTCAGAATTTCAGGTACTTTATCGAATCCACCAAGCCCAACTATGTCTGAATATAGAATCAATATTAATAAAAATCGGGCGAAACAAATATCCATAAAAATTGCGCCAAAAAAAAGAGGAATTTCACGAAAATCATCACGAAAAACACTCGATTATAGAATTATAGAAAATGCTACTCATACTATTAATGAACCAAATTCCATGGCTACTTCGGAAAATTCTTCAAATTCATTCATAAACAATCTCAATGCTGATAAAATATCGGTCTGCGAAAATTATGAAAAAAAAGTAAGCGAAAAATCCAAAGGATCGATGAAAAAGACTAAAAATTTATGTAGCTCCAAAAGAAGTGATTCTCTTCCGAAATTAAAATCAATTAATTCACAAGAAAAGACAAAGCAGAGTCTTTCTATTCCAAGCAATAGAAGGACTCGTAATTCTGTCAAAGAGAATGCTGATTTTTCATCTGTTTTTCAGGTGGAAAAGGAAGTACTAGTTGAAAAAGTAGCTGCTGAACCTGCGATAGAAAATGTGGTAAGAAAATCACGCTTTAGGAAAAGATCACTCAGTATGACGGATGTCGATAATAGCAGTCCGAAAAAGTGTAAAAATATTAATGACGATGTGTCTGTTGAAAACAAAAATAAGAAAATAATTAATGGAAGACAATCTGAAAATATTCTTGACTTTATTGTTAGAAAAAACTTATCAAACAATGGAAAAATGAGTGAAGAAGCCAATTTAAATAAAGAGGCGATTGTAAAAGTCGAGAGAATTTCTCTATCTACTCCAACAGGATCAATATTAAATACTTCAACTGAATCGGTGATTGAAAATGATAACAGAAATAGAAACAGACAAAATCGATATAAAAATGTTGTAAATAGTCAAATCGCTTCAAGTACTTCGACTAAAGAAAATGAAAAAACTACCCAAAATGTAGAAATGCGAAGAAATACAAGTCGAAGGGCAACAAAAAAAAATAAATCACCAGCTGATGATATCAGTTCTGAAGTTGGTGAAGAATCTCAAGAAGTAGAAATGATCATGAATGGTGCCCTCAAAGAACAAAATGCCAATTCAAATACAGAAACAAAGAAAGATACACAGAAAAATGCAAGAAACACCAGAATGCGAAGCACTAGAAAACGTGGGAATACAAATGTTTATATAGATACAGATAATACGAAGACCAGTAGTATTTCTTCCGTTTTATCTGAATCTGATAACGCATATTTGGAAGTACCTATTTCGAGGAACAAACGAGCGAAAGTCACTAAAAATTCTTTGACTGTAACTAATACTACAGTAAATGAATACATTAAAGAAACAACGGGGAGAAACAAACGATCGACTAGATCAACCCGAGGTCAACAATCAGTTACGGATTCTTCTGTAGAATCTATTGCTGATCAAATTAATTTAAATAATAATACTAAAACTACTTTGGGTGTAATTAACACTATGGTAAATAAGTCCACTAAAGAAACAAAAAAAAACGACAAACAATCGACTAGCTCGTCTCGAAGTCAACAATCAATTATGGATTCTTCTGTAAAAGAAAGCACAGAAACTATTACTAATAAAACTAATTTAGGTAATAGTACTAAAAATACTTTGAATGTAATTAATACTATGATAAATAAATCTACTAAAGAAACAAAAAGAAACAACAAACAGTCGACTAAATTGTCTCGAAATCAACAATCAGTTATAGATTCTTCAATTATAGATTCGATAGAAGAAAATACAAAAAATAATCGAACTGATTTAGGTATTAGTAAAACGAATAGTTTGAGAAATAAACGTCAAACGCACACGACAGGAAAGGCTAAAAACAATAAACAATGGAAAAAAGATTTTATAGAGGAGACATCTAGTTCAGAAACGAATACCAGCAACGAAATTACATCAATACTTTCAACGCCTAATAGAACACGTAGAAGTATGTCTTCTTCATTTGCAATGCAATCACCATTGAGAATAAAACATAAAATCTTATTTACTGGTATTTCAAGTAACGATTATAACAAATTGTTAACAAAATTAGGTATATAATCTTTTTACGAGAAAATTATAGCTAGCTATAACAATCAAAATTAAGTTTTTTTTTTCTTTTTATATAGGAGCATCTCAAGTTGACAATCCAACAAAGTGCACTGTACTGGTTACAGATAAAGTTCGTCGAACTGTTAAATTTTTATGCGCTTTAGCGTTATCTGTACCAATAGTTTCAGTTGATTGGTTAATTGCTAGTGAAAAAACTGGTCATTTTATAGAATTAGAAAATTACATATTGAAAGATTCTGCTGCTGAAACTAAATTCCGTTTTAAATTGGAAGAGAGTTTAGAAAAAGCAAAAGAACATAAACTTCTGGAGGGATACACGCTTGTTGTAACGCCAAACGTGACGCCACCACCACCAGAATTAAAAAGTATGTTTTAAAAATAATAATTTGTTTTTCTACTATAAAGAATATATTTTTTACAGATATAATCATTTCGTGCGGTGGTAAAGCTTTGCTTCGACCACCGTCATCATGGCCTCGAAACTCAATAATTATTTCTCACGAAGAAGACTTAACAAATGCAAAGAAATTTCTTGAAAAAGCACCTAAAACTGTTACCGTTCATTCAACAGAATTCGTATTAACTGGTATTTTGAGACAAGAGTTAGAATTTACTGAATTTAAATTAATATAATTCATTTTCCTAATTTTTTAACAAAACAAATATATTATATTAAACAAAATGTGTAAATCATCTGTATATTTCTTATATAAATATTTTTTCAAAATTTTGTATAAAATGAAAAGTACATTGTTATTTAATTTGTTTCAATGTTATTATATATAAATACATATATAAAATATCTATTTTATAAATTATTTTTTATTTTAAGTTTTTAATGGTATAAACAATACTTAATATTTGATTTTAATATGAAATTTTAATATAAAAAAAAATTATACTTTGTGTTTATATCTTTTAGTTTTTATTGTGAAATATAATTTCAAAGTATAATATCTATAATTTGGTATCTATAATAATAATACTTATGTTAATGTTTATAGGAATAGGTTATAAATGTGAATGACTATTTCTTAAATATTACTTTTTAATAATATACTTATGTGTAATATGGGAATAGGTTATAAATGTGAATGACTATTTCTTAAATATTACTTTTTAATAATTATAAATTTTATTGTTCATCAAAATTATACAATTTTTTTTTTTTTTTATCTAATACTTTCAACTTTCTAATGAACTCAAAATTAGTTTTGAATGTAACAAAAATGTTTCTTACAGTATTTCAAAAAACAAATGCAATTTTTTCAAGTGATTATAGAATTTCTAAATTGAGCAATTATGTTTCGATAGTAATTAAATGAAACATTTATAACTAGATGCTCAGTATCTAAAAAATGTGTATACTGTGCGTGAATTCAATAGAAATATTTCCTCAAATGTCACAAAATCTCTAGATTCAGTTAGTTCTTCTGGATCAAGAGTATTCTAAGAGATAATTATATATCCTCTATAAATTACAACAGTAATGATTATAAGATATATATAATAGTATTTATACTAAGTACTAATTATCTTATTTTAAGTGAGAATTGATGTTTAGTGACTAACTGCATTATTAAAAATAAAGGAAATTAAAAGAATTGTTTATTATATCTAACGATATTCAAGAAATCTTCAATCTATTGGAATTGACAGATACTTTCTCCAAAAATAAGACACAGCAATCTCCGAGTTCCTAAAACAAACGAATAATAATAAATTATTAAAAATACGAATAATAAAAAAAATCAATTTAATACTGAAGAAATATTTATAAATAAAGCAAATCAATGATATTTTTTAACGTGTCTCTATCCATTCTTGTATGCATACTTATCATCGTGTAAAAAAAAACCAACAAGAAATGAGTCATCTTTAAAATATTGCGCAGTACTAAAAATACAAAAATATTTTGTTATAACAGAAACATGCAAGGGAACGTTGAATCTCATTAAATCGAAACTTATTAAATTACTACATTTTAACTTTCGCCGATTTTTAATTGCATCGTCAAATATGCGCTTCTACGACTTAAAATTGTACGTAGATAGAAAAACAAGAGTATAAACATACAAACTCGGCCAAGGTTGCGAACCTTTTCGGCCGCACACAAATCAATAACACAATACAAAGTAAAACACAATATTAAAATTTACGTCGATTAATTGAAGAAAATGTACTTACTCTTTATGCTTTGGTCTTTCCAGCATTACGTTTGTTGTGCTCAGAATTCATCAATTTAGTGAGTATCTTTCTGGAATGGCCGCAGGGATCGAAATGATTAGTATGCGTAAGAGCCTCGCGTTTGCTTCGTTGTTTTCCACTGTGTCCGGTAAAAATATGCTTGTCGTAATCGTAGTTAAAATGTTCGTATTCGTCAACGTAGTAGTCAGACATAGCTCTCGTTTTCCAAATACTTTAAAAAAAATAACAATTAGCGTTGACGCAGTTGAATAATCTCTTTCACTCAGGCTCACTGCAAGCTATTGGACGCCGCTTATTGCCGCCGCTTATATAAGGTATCTAAGAATTTTTGCGCAGGCGCAGTATCCAGTAATGTCTCTAGTATATTTTGTGCCTGATATAATAATCATTTAATAAGATTCTTTATCTATTTTGCATTGCAAAATAATTCATTTCAAATAAAATAAAGAAAATTTTAAATCTGATATATCAAAAAGTATATAATAAGTAATATTTCAATATAACTGTGCATGAAAGAATGGGTATTAGAAATTTCTAGAGAACACTTGATATTCTCTCTATTATTGATCGCAAAGATTAAATATTTGTACCCTCAAGAAATATTCTAGTGAACTGCTTCAACGAACAATCTTATGTTTTTAAATATTTCAAGCATGAATATTGTTGCGTCATACATATACTGGCGTAAATCAACCAATAATTAAAGTTATTTGATATGTTTCGTTAAAAATTTACGTATAAATCTAATTGCATCATTTTATACCATACATAGGCAGTTCTGATCCTGATACTATGTTGGTTTAGTAATTGTTAATTACTAATATATATTTACAATGAAAAATATTGTATTTTTTTCAGTTTTTAATAGATTTGACATTGTATACTATTTGTAAAAAAAATCTATGTAATAAATATCGGTAAGCTTTGGATTTATGTATTCAACTTTTATTACGTGAGACAGTCCTTATGTTTGGCAACAAACAATAGATTGATCTATTACGCACGCGCGATCAGCATCTTGTTACATTGACTTCTAGAAGTCTCCCTACCATCGTCAGCAAAACGTCATTGCACATTCTGCGTTTATCGTCTGCTGACATACCTTAAGAGCAGTAAGAAAGAAAAATGCAGAAATGTTTACATAGGGCGTGGTAAAGAAGTTGATATTAAATATATTTTATATATTATATGTTGATAGAAGTTTGACATAACTTAAAATGACAAGATGAAAAGACGTTTAATTTTTTACCGATTCCAGTTTAATCATATACCTTTATATTCCGCTTTGTATACTGATATCAACATGTAGGAATTAATTATCAATTCTGCCTGATTATTATTAATTTTGCCTACTGTATAAAGATTGTATATGAAAATATACATGTTTACATACATTCCCATATATATTTATTTACGACTGTCATGAAAAATATCTCTTGATCTTAATTACTTACATTTCATGAAATAATTTCTGATCAAAAATAATATTTGTTATATCTCAAAGCATGTGGAGGATATTTTTCCGATTTAAAAAAAATACAAAAATCAGACAGAAATGATATAAATTAATACAGATGGATTTGCAATGATTTTTATATATTTTTTTTTTATCTTATCGAAGATTATTATGACTCAACGAGTCGTAGTAAAAATATTATTGATTAGAATATAGTGTGTGTTTCAAGATTGTTACTAAAAAATGATTAAACCGCCAGATGTAGCAATCACATTTTTAGTATTTTAAGTAAATTTAGCTTCTGTATTTCATTTCTTATGAATAAATAATAAAAGAAAATTCAACCTTTTCCTACTATATGGACGTAAAAATTTATATGCTGTATGCCAAATTAAAGGTCAATTACCAGAAAATGTTGACTTCAGTCGACTGGAAGGATGTAGCATATACATATATAAAATCCCGTTAATTGATCTAATTTTATTACGATAGCGTACAGCTAGTAATATCGAAGCATTGACTAGGAACATAATATACATGATATATAGTATATGGGATTTCGTGTCTCATATTCTGAAATATTGATCTTCAAATGAACCAATGTAATTTGCTACTGTTAATACAATTAGATATAAAGAAGTATTATTTTATCCTTCCACCAAATTAAAGATTAGAAAAAGGAATTTTTTCTTTTATTTTTTGTATATCGATGTTTAAGTTAGACAATATACATATCATTATACGAAATGCGCGCGCAATAATTACACAAAGATTACAGCGCCAATGAAACGGTGAAATACACAATTAAATATTGCGATTCTCGAAAGTAATCGATATCTCTCTGGATCGTTCTGTAACGTAAAAATGTCAGTTTTAAGCGGGAACCGTAATAGTGAGTGGCATCATGTAGAAATTATCAGGTAAAAATTACAATTAATAGCATTTAGGTTTCTTTTTGCATTGTGAAATACATTTATAATTTACAATAGTAAGCATTATTTGTAGAAGTTATTATGTATATGTATTCAATTCAATTATCAATATTGGTTAGAAATGAACACATGCAACAATCCGTGAGAGGTTGAAAATTGTACATATTCTATAAATATTTATATGGTTAAAAAGCATTTTCATAAGATATTTTGATTAACCAATTTGCGATGCGAACCTGTTATTCAATTCTAAAAATCATAGTATGAAAATGTATCTCTGTGTGTGACAATTATTAACTCCATAATACTTTCATTATTTATTATTTAATTTCATTATTTAATTAACGTAGATTTTTATTCTATAATTTATCTCTATAATTATATTTATTTGTTTGTCTTTTTGATTTCCATATTTGTTAGATCATAACTTGACTTTTGAGTATTGACTTTGAGTATTATTTCATTTTCATATAATTCCTTTTATACATATATTTGAAAGTTTTGGTTTTCTTTTTCACAGATACTAGTTGATTGTGGGGGAAATTTCAAAAAATTCAGGACACCATCCAACTTCTTTTATGGAAGTACATATAATAAATAATTTGACTTATATGTCTAATAAAAGCAGGCATGTTTGTATCTTTATTCTCTCTTTTTATGAGATAATTCATAACATTTATTTAGTATTCGCTTGATGTACATTGTTATCATGAACAAGTTCGAACGCTTTCTGCGCATCGTGTATTGCGCACATTCATTCAATTGACAAAAGCGCGCCATATTTGATTAGTAGAAAGTATATTTAAAATCATAATAACGTAACGGCATAATAACATAACATAACATTCAGGCATCTTTATTAGTATTAAAATTTGTAGAATTTTATTTTTCATTATCGTAAACTTTTTAAACAATCAACATTATTTTTGAGAACAAATAATAATATTCTGTACTTTTTTTTACAGATTTCTTCTAGCCTTTACTTCTATAGGATTTGACTATTCCTGTTGACATGATCACAATTAATAACAACGTTAATCGTGAGTTACATGCATTTTTGTTCCTCTGGTCACTCAATCATGTAGAATAAAAGGTCCAAATTGACATGGGTGACCGGTTATATTACATAAAATTTTTTAACGAGTATAGTGATCACATCAATATCAATTATACTCGTGTTTTATTTATTAGTTTAGGATAGATTTTCTTGCATATTACGTTTGCATTGATATTAACAATGTAACATAATGTTACAATATAAACAATCAAATAGAATGCAATAGTAGTCAAGAGATAAAATTTGAAATATGGAGATACCTATATTTGTTTAATTTTATCCATCAAAGAATAAATCTTTCACATGCAAGAAGACACTTCGCGACGGGCAAATTTTAGAATTAAAACAGCTTATGTTTTCAAAAACAGATTTGATGAAGAGATTGCCTAAAGAGAGAGAGATATTTCTATTAATATTTTATTTTGAGTTCATTTATATTCATTGAATTTTACATTATTTGTATTGAATTAATTTCTTTTAATCTATTTATTAAATTAATTATAGAAAAGTAAATTATAGAGTAAAGTAATCGACAATTGAAATAAAATAAAGGAATATCAAGAAGTATTAGCCCGTTACAAAATACAAGCAAATAGATATATTAATCATCTTTTTAGCTTAGAATTTTCAGGTTTTGTATTCATGTTCATTGCCAGGACCTCATTCACGTGCCCAGATGCTACCTGGATGGGAGAAAGGCGATGGACATGATGATTATAGTTTATGAGCTTAATAATTTATAATTTCTCAGGGACCGATGATGCGTTAGTGTACCGTGTACGACATATTTTCTACATTGTATGTGAATGATTAAGATGTGGAATCGCATCGTTTTTATTATTTCAAGCAATATAATTTTGAAAATATTTTAAATATAATAAATAGAAACTATAGAATAATGGTGTCACATTTTGTACCATCTGTTTCAATAATGTTATTTCTTCAAATGATGTAACATAAGATCATGAATATTTAATTGAAAGATATTTATGTATTCTTATCTTGTCTTACGCAATGGTCCCTAACTTTCATCAGTCGATTCCAGGAAAATGGTATGTAAATTAGAGTATGAATGTGTGGGCGATACTCTGATATCGAAGGCGTCTGGAGATGTCCTCTCTAGTGCAGGTTTTGCATCCGAGTGTATGTGTGAGAACCGTAGAGTGAGTGCATTGGTATACCTGTTTTTGCCATTTTTTAAATATAGGAAGCTAGATAAACTAGATAGCATACTTTCTGGTATGCCTGTATATAATTATAAGCAGGTAGGACCGGGCAGGTTGGCACTAGGTCTAAGAAGTCTAAGGGTAGTTTGTAATAGATCTAATTCATAAAGAAACCTTTAGATTCTTTGTAGTAAGGTTGTACGAAGAATTTTTTAAATTTTGTAATGGGTAGGGTTCTGAAAAATCCCCACATTTAGATACTTAGATAAGATTTGTGAAAATCTTTAAATTTTTATCATGCATGTTAAGTTGGATTGTCAAATTTATAAGTAATTGGGATATGTTTATATTAAGCTAGATTTATAGTTAGATCGTAGACTCTGAACGTAATAAGTACATTTTGATATTTAAATAAAGTATCGTAATAATTAAGAGCATATCCAATTATGAATTTAAGTGGAGTTAAATCTTTGTGTACAAAATCGGTAAATTTTTAGAAAAAGGAAAATGGGTGTAAAAAAAAAGGGTGAATGGAACCGTGGATATGGAAACAATCGCATTATTTGATATATAATTACTAATTGCGTCACCATGAATTATATAACAAATAATATGATTGACTGCAATTGTGATTACAGATTTGCTAGATTTATTAGATTATTGTATATAGATACAGAAGTAGGAAATTATTCGAACATTTGAAATTACCAAAATAAAATATAACAAAGGTATAAAATAGTTCCCAAGAATACGTTCCAGTGTTTCAGGAACAATTTCAATTTGACACTATGCCATTACATACATTGTATTTCATTGTCTGATATTTTTAACTGGAAAGAGTCGCATTCTTCATGAACTTTATAAAAATGTTAGGCATAGATTCTTACTTAATATCAGAAAGTTCTCTGAAATAAATTTTCGATCGATAGCGTTAGGTAGAATCTCATTCATTCGAGTAAAAGTTTATTAAAAACTTCCTCTGTCGCGATTATTCATCGAATTAACAAGCATAATTACATCGTGATTGTATTGCGTGATCTAAAAAAGTAATTTCTTCGTTCGTGAAAAAAAAAAGATAACAATAATGAGAGAATGATATCAAAAAGTATTATAACGTGTGCAAAAGTTTTATTGAAGGACTTTAGTTTCGCACAATTCAGCATAGAGAAAACGTCAAGCGGCAACGTCCGTTTCAACCACGAAAAGTTTCTCTTTGAGTTTCAATCCTTACGATCAAATGTTGAAGAGTTGAATACCGGGAACTCGGATAAAACTTATTACGGTCAACGCTCGGTCAGCGTTGATGTTTAGCGATTTTATATAATTGGAAGATTCACCAATAGGCGTTCGTTTTAATCAGGAAGAGTTTAATCGAGTCCATACACGTCTCCTCCTTTCCGGAAATCCGCATTCGCGTATACCGTATTGTTCTTGGTGTAAATGATGCAGGCTACGCTACCACGAACTCTGTAACGAGCAGTTTTGTGGCCGATCTTTTTCAACCCATCGATCACCTGCTTTGGCACGCCATACTCGTAGGCTAGTTCTGCCGGGAATAACTGATGATGTATTCTGGGAGCGTCCACCGCTTCCTTTACCGTTTGGTCCATCCACATGATCTTGGCCATTATCTGAACACAGAAATGTTGAAGAAATTCAAAACATTCAAAAAAGTTTCTTCGTTAAAACAAACTAGTTTAAATATTATATTAATTCGAGATCGACTTTTATTTGTAATTAATTCTTTCGCCTAGATCGAAATTGAAGTAGTTATCTATAAGTAATATTAATCTTTAAAATTGGCGAGGACGAAAAATCAAATTAATGTACTGAAAGATTTAAATAATTGACTGTCGTCATCGGACGATGTTCACGAATTGCTTGGTGATAATAAATGCTCACCTGTGAGACTGTCGTGGTGATCTTAGTACCACCAGAAGCACCAACGACCATTCTTACATCATCATTTTCGTCGACAACTATTGAGGGTACCATAGATGACAAAGGTCTTTTGCCAGGGGCGATATAATTGTTCGGACTGGGTGGAACTCCGAAGTAATTAATTGTTGACGGTATACCAAAGTCGTTCATTTCATTGTTCAACAGTATTCCGGTACTCTCGCTGACTACTCCGCTTCCAAAACTAATAAAGAAGTGATCATTTAACATGAAATATCTTGAGCTAACGTTAAAAGCTAAAACTTCCAGTACAATTTACTCAATTTACTATCTCGTAAATCCTTCTCGATAAGCTTCTCAATATAAAATCTGACCTAGAAAAATTGTTCAATGTTGAAGAAATAAACGTACTAGAAATTAATAGTACTAGTAGCTGAAACTGCATCCCCATTTGGCGCTAATACTGAAACATGTGCAGTTCCTTGATCTTTCGCGCTGCTCAGCGTACGCGCTCCATAATGCGATGGATCGTCCCACGTTTTGTGATCATCTATCTTCATTTGTGTTTTTTGCGCTTGAGTTTTGGACGTCAGATTCTTCGTCAACTGAAGCAAGTAGAATTAAAATTAGAATTGCAAGTATACCGCAAGTCCTGTACATAATCTTTGTACAATTTTTTTTTTTTTAAGTAAGTTTTCTTTTTAATTTTACTGATAAAATATCGATATATCCGATAAACTATTGGATTAGAGAAACGTGTTTACTAACTTCTTCCATATCGACGAATTCTTTATCGCCCATATCATTCCTCAACGCGTACGCGTATTTGAACGTTTCGATCATTCGATGATATGTAAGAGTGGTTCGATTGAAATCAATCAAGCTGTCAGGCGTAAAATTAAACCCATCCAAGATATTTAAAATGTAGGTGAGAAGTGCTCCACTTGCTGGTAAACCGATCGTAAACAATTTCATTCCATTGGAGAGCTTCGATTGAAGTGGTTCGTCCCACGTTGCTCTACAGACAATTTCGATGAAAAAGAATTTAACGATCGATGATTTGTAGCTTTCTCAGCTACGTTGTAAATACCTGTAGTTGTTCAAATCTTTCGTCGTTATTATCGACCCTTTCTTTTGCAAATCTTCTACCAGAAGTTTACCAAGCGTTCCGTTATAAAATTCCGAGACTCCTTTCTCCGCGATTATTCGCAAAGTTTTACAGAGCATTCTAGGTTTGATGATAGTACCTGGTTTGTAAAAGTCGTTCGTGCTTGGATCTACGAACAGCTCTCTGAAATGGAAAGAGATTCGTGTCAAACTTGTAAATTGTCGAAACATTAATTACTCGTATCTTAATTGAATTAACACGAATGTCACAATTAGAGTGTGGATTTTTATGCATGTAACATTTAACATTTAATGTACAAAACAATTTCCTATCGAAAATTCTATGCTTCGGAGTACATTTTCGTAGACATGAATTCGCATAAAGACCCACAATCTTGTCATAACGCGTTTACTTTAACACGCGATCCTTGTAAATGTTCTTCGCATTATATCTGAATCCGTCGTGTTGAATTTTCGTCAGATTGTATCCTTCTTCGCACAGTTCGATCGAGGGTCTGAATAGGTCGGCCCATGGTAATTTACCGAAACGTTGATGGGCTTCCCAGTATCCTGCCAATTCCCCAGGAACAGCGATGGCCAACGGGCCTAATGTAATTCATGAACGTATAAATTTTACAGCCATTTTTATTTCATCATCAAAAGGAAAAAAAAAAAGAGAGAAGAGCAAAAGCTTACCGATAAACGACGCCTCTTTGGGCTTTCCATCGTACATTGTAGCATTGGCAGCCAACGGGGCACGGTCTCTCGCGGTCAATGTGTACGCTCGTTTCGAGGCTTTATCGTAAATTGTCATGAAAAATCCGCCTCCAATGCCCATACTCTGCATATTCACAAGACCGTTGCAAATCATCGCAGCTATGGCCGCATCCACCGCTGAGCCATTTTTTTCTAGAATTGAGCTGTAAGAAAATATTAAGGCATTAAAAACATTGTGGAGTAAATATACAGTTCTTTTGTTTTGTTTGTGAATTTTTTCTGAATTTGATTTCAGACAGATAAATTCCTTCATTTTTGAAGGAACTTACGCTTTAAAAAAAAAAAAAAAAAAAAAAAAGAAAGAAGCTTTCGATGCTTCGTGCAGCAACGTGATACAATTTGACATACTTGCCAACTACGGCACATGGTGCACCATCCGCACAAACAGCACCACGTTTAAAAGTTTTCAAGTTGCTCCATGACGGAGGTAATGGTGTCTCCGGATCGGGCGGTATTTCTTCGTCTTCTTGGATTTCTATGTCCCTACTGGCCCCGTAAACACTGCAGATTGCTATTATCGAAAGAATTACCGTGGCTAATATCACGCTCGCTATTATAATACTTTTTGTATTGATATAGGACCTGAAAGTAGGAAAAATTCATCAAATGAATCGAGAGTAGGATAGTAAAGAACGAATATCAAAGACGAATATATATTAAGCGATAAATAAATAATAAAAATAGTTTGGTAATTAAATCGTTCGATATTTTATACTTACTTTGCAGCACGTATAAATTTGTGGGGAAAGTTTCATTAATTTTATTACTGTTCAACTTTACTAATTTTCAATACTTTTCATCCAATTTAAATTAATCATTATTTAGATCTTTCCTTAGATCTTTGATGGCTGTGTAACACTTTTACAAAGGACAGAAATTAAAGAGGACGTTTAAAACCTTCTGATTACGAAATACGAAAATTAAAACCGATTTCAATTATTTTAAAGGCAAATGTGTTCGGATAATTATTCATTATATTTTACTAGATTTGTAGGAAGCTTTTGTGATAAAAAAATTGCAAAACGTTCGGTAACTTTTTATACTATTTTAGTTGCTGAAAGCACAAAATATGTTATGTAGTTTTTAACAGAAGAATTGCAAATTGGTGGATTGTTTCTTTCGAGAAATTTTGTGATGTGAACAATTTTTCTGCATACAGTTGTTTGCAACAATTTTGCAACAATGTATGACACATCTGTTATTTACAGCATGAACATGTGGAACAGATCTTGATCGATGATAGCTATAAACGAATCAGCATCAAAGTGAAAGTAGATTCATTGCGAAGGTTATGTGCAATTGCATTTAACGAGTGTTCCCTGCCGTTGGTCTAGAAATCCGCACATGCACTTACGTGTACATATATGCACCATAGACATCTTAACCTGTTAACCAGAGAAGGCATATCAAGTCGTCGTTACGATTCCCAATTTCTCGGACATGATAATTTCTTTACTCATAGAATCCTTCTTTTCTTTAACGTGACACTTCCTTTGTCCAATTACGTTTTCACATTTGCAAATATTTTAAAATCGACATTGACGATTAAAATTGAAATTGGCTTTTCTTTGCCATCTCTCGACTTTACGATTCTCTGTTGCTTTCCGAATCTGTGACGAAGGTTTCTTAATTAAGGGACAATTCGGTTAACAGGTTGACACCAAAAAATTAAAGAAAAAGTATTACATGCTCATCTACATAAACTACTCGATAGCTCACTTTATTCAAAAAGAAAAAAAAAAAACTTCACGTAAAGATGAAAGAAAATACGCGTAACAGCGATCGAATCTTGGACGCGCAGCATCCCCAAGTTGTTCAAACTGGCGGGAACCTGCGCAAAACGTAACTCACTTGTCGATTCGGAATCTCGCGAGGAATCCTCTCGCTTTGCCGCGATGAGGTGAGTACGAGCGCAATAGTCGAGCCGTCCCGACGTCGTCCGTATCGAAGAAATTTCGCTTATCGTTACTGTAGTACTGACGGACATCGTCAGTACTAGCATACGCGGAACTGGTACTGGACGAGGGTGAGGAGGTCATGGTTTTTCGCTGCTACAAAGAGGAATCATAAAATGTAACATTGCAACGGTTATCTCGTTATCAACAGAGATATCAGACATCTCTGATAAACGCCAAACGAACAACTATCGCCACCTTTGGACGATTCGAGTGAACAAATTGCGTTATGGGTCTACCACCACTCGCGATACGCGTTCAACACTTACTGTCAGAGGCAGACGATTTCTGATCACCATTCACATTCGACTTTCGGCTTCACACGGCGAACCTCTGTCTCGTTTTATCGCGGACTCTTCGGCCATGTCGGTCTTATTATCGATGAAATTCGTCCACCGAAAATCGTGCGAGAGATTAACCGCATCGTCCGAAGATGAACAGCACAACAGCTGACCAGAGAGAAAATCAATCTGAGCTTGCGCGGTTCGCATCGCTGGCGCAGAATTGTTCTCTGACAGTGTCACGTGCCACGCGTCCGCGATTTTGAAAATTCGACGAACAAAGTGAACGAATTGCCTTTGCGATTCGAACGTCTTTGCAATTGTTTGCAATTATTGCAATCATTTGCTCGTTACGTCCGGAAGGCAAGATAAATTTTACTTGAACGAGATTAATGGTTGGCGAGGATATAGTTATCTACCACGCGTACGTTCATAAGTCATTTTAGTTGGCTATTTTAGTCAAGAAAAAAAAAAAAAAAATTTGTGAAAACGAACGAATCCAGAATGATGAAATATTTTTTAAGAAAATAGGCTTCGTTGTTTAATTTTTAAACTATGAGGACCATACGATGCTCGTGAAATATTTTATGTACGTTCACGTCGTGCTGCCACGTTAAAAATTTCATACTATTATTTTACGACGTAGTATTTGCCATTTAGAGAACTATAAAAAATGTAATAAGGATATTTGATTGTGCCAGTCGACGAGTCTATACCTAAGAATGTCTGTATATAATTTCTATCATAGTGTTTTTTCATCTGTTCGTTTTTGCGTACGACGAGAAGGAAGAGTACGAAAAAAGGAGTATCCATCTAATGCGACAGTACTTAATTAAACACCCTTCGAGAAGTTGTACATATATCTGGGTCGTAGAACACGCGGGGTGGACTATCGGGAAGTGGCGTGCAATTGCGACAATTTGTAGCTATTATAGGAACCGTTAAGCATTGTACAATGTGATTCAGCAAAAACAAGTGCCACATACAAAGTAACGAAATCGCACGACACGTTTCGCCAACCATTTCATTTATTTTGTGTTTCATTGCTAACTCACGTTCGTTGATAAAACTGTAGATTAACTCACTCACTGGAAAGTGTCGGATAAAAAGTTCCCTTTTTTAGCCTTATTTTATGTAATATCTCTCATACAAAAAAATTGTTTCCTATTTCAATATTCGTCTCACCTTAGTTCCTTCCGCGTCTCCTGCTCTATTTCCGCCAAGCTGTTTCTTCTCGTCATCCTCGTCCACCGTTATATTTTCCTCGATTCGACGAACTTTTCAAGCGTCACGTTTCACCGATCGTCACACGATATGATTCATTTGTGTCGTTTCGAGACAGCCTGAGAATTCGACAAATTCAGAGATAAATGACAAGAACGTGGTCGAAGAGAAAAGAACAAAAAAAAAAAAAAAAGAAAAAAGGAGAGAAAGAAGAAGCAAAACCGCGTATCAAACGTTAACGGTGCTCTTTCATATTTATGAGGAAGATAGTTGACCGCGTAGAGATTGCCCGACGAGGTGGCGTTCGAGGTAGCCGCGCGTTTAAGATTTAGCACGGTAATAACGCGAAAACTGTTAGAATCACGCGCACGATTGCATGATTCTAAATTGAAATTAGCACTCGGTGTGGCGCACCGCGAATCTCCCGAAGGAAGATTCCCATGGCGATTACGCGCGATCACAAACCCAATCAAAATCTCCAGCACGAGCGTCCCGTCGTTATCCCCTATTGTTAAACGTATTATATTGTAATTGAACTATTGTGACTCACGGCAGATGATCACCTTCCGTTACGTAAAAACGGTTCAGTTTCATCTGTACCTTTTCCGAGCGTCTCTCGTCCTCTCTTCCCAAAGAGTCAAGTCAGCCGGGTCATCTTCTTTCGACGATTCGTTCACTCGTAAGAAGACGCGATAACTCTCACAGTTTATCCATGAAAGTAGATCGACGATCGAGCGAGACGGATCTTGTCGCACGAGGCATCGAACGCGCGTGTCGCTCCGGTATACGGTTTAACACGCAGTGCTCCTCCGGTCGGGATTGCCGGTCGGCTGTCGGTTCAACTCTCCACGAAAACATCTGGAAACGCGTTTGTGCTGCGACGGCCGATCCGTACAGATGGCAGAGAAGAAGGGATTGTTGTTTCTTGTTCGCGCGGTCAAATTTAATCCCCCCTCCCCCTTATTTGAATTCCAAACGATAGGGGACAGGATTACTGTTCGGGCGACCCCGGTTTCTAAAAGGAGGCCTTGTTTCGAAAGTACGTGCTACACGTGCGCGACGTTTTTTTGTCCGCAAGCTCGTCGCCCTTTTTTTCCCTATGAGAAGATCACCGCGGTGAGAAAGATCCCTTTTTCGACTCTTTCAACCGTGAAAGATAACCTCCAGACCACAAATGAAACAATTTTCGTCCCGAAATTTGAAACTTTCAGGCTGTTGCATCGAATAATGAAAATTCCTCGCTTTTTGCATCTTTTGGAATTGTTTCAACGAAACTTTTCTCAATTTTACTGATATTTATGATTTACGTTTTAAGTAAAGATCAAGTAATTAAAGATTCGTTATTCGGAATACAATCGAATTCTCGTTTAAGAGGACGAAAAAGTACTCCTTTGATTTAACTTTCTGTGGTACCTGAAAAATTCGGCAGGAATCGTTTCTGTCACGAGTTTCTCCGCACATGGTTGCTTCGCTAAGTGGAAGATGATTTCGTAATACCTGTCGATGGAAGATCTACCGTTTGAAATTAATTTTGCGACTTGTTCGCACGAGGGACAAGCGAGTTTTCGAGAGTTAGCCCTTGGGAGAGTGGCCGTCGGCCATGAAACGGAAACATCTTGCGAGGAATATTCGCTAAAATCTATTACAAGTTGCTTGACCGAAGTTTCGCAACGTTGGTTGTAATAATGATTCAGAAGATGTTTGAGTTTAATGATATCGTTGAGTGTCTTATTAAATGACGAACATCTAACATCCTGCGCAACGGTGTCGTCGTTATCGAGGTATTTGCTAATAACGTCCCATCGATTTTTCCTTTTCCTTAACAGACAGATAAAGATGAAACAAAGAATAGAGATAAAACACGAAATGTCGAGAAATGAAGTAACGAAGGAGAAAATAATTGTTATTGATAATTGATACGCTTCTAGGGGGAAGTTACTAATGATTAGATTGCAGATTTCAGAGGAAATTTAAAAGCGGAAAATTACAGAATGCACGTGATATGAAGCTTTATAGCCTGAATCATTTACCTCCTATTTACGTCATCGTTTGATTTATTTTAATTTTCGATGAAATTTAAAGGAGAAGCAATTATACATAGAGGTGATATTTTTCAGAACGTTTTTCGATTTTATTTTGCACTAACGACGTACATTCAAACATCATTTGGATCGCGATATCCGAATACCATTAACATTAATGTCAACGCGCGGTACCCGACAAAGTTCTTCGCGCCGGAATGATAAAATACTTGTGCTCTATCAACAAGATCAACAAACGACGAGTTCCCAGCTTCGTTATGTTCTAATTGACAAATTCGAAAGCAACATAAATCCATTCGGTTCGGCTCGTTACGTAAACCTGGAACATGACGGTGCATCCATCGCGAGTCTTGAAATTGAGAAAATTTAGTATAAATAGATTCCTTGTCACGAAGATTCTCAGAAATAAATTTATCGCCCGTCTCTTGCAACGTTGTCAGATTTTCCTCGCGAAACAGGGAAAATATTATTTTTTGCTGGAAAAATATTTTATAAACATTTAATAGAAACGACCAAAGTTTCCCGAAAGAAATTTCATCGATATGTTGCAAATTAATCGTCAATCGAACATCTTTCTCTTCTGAATTTTTTCTCAACTTTTCGCTTGCACAGCTTAGAAAACAATAAATAATTATATTTTTTCCGTATCAACGATTCTTAAAAGTTAGAACGTTTGAACTCGATACTGTACACGCATCCACGCACTCGTACACGCTCTCATCCACGCGCGCCGTTCGCTCGTCGTCTACAAAATTTGTCGTCTACATCAATTCCAATAATCACCAACATTAATATCAGTTAACTTTTCGGTGACTGTTGCTACACCTAATTGCGAGTAAATTCATCACATATGTGTAGACACAGCGGTTGGCCACGATTGTACAAACTTGCTAGTAAAAAGTGTTCGTTTCGTCACTCTTTATTTAACTCATCTTTGTATCATTACTCGTCCACGTGATCTATCAACTCGTTAACTGATTTACGTAATTCGGTGATTAAAACTTTTTCGATGAGACTCCCATGCACGACTCCTAAAGTTCGAACTTCAACACACTCCTATTCTCTCCTTCGCGTTTCAAGTGACGTTCTGCATCGTCGAATTTCTTTTTTTCAATAAGATTTCTTCCTTTCATTGTTAAAATATACGTCTCTTCGATAGCAATTTGCAGAACATTCGAACATTGCGTACGATCGTTTGAAACGCGCTTAATGTTAATATGGTTGTTAACTGGTACAAATTGAACACCGGTGTAGTGAAAATTATAAAAGTAGATGTAAAGCTGAAAATCGATTTCAAATTATGTGTTCGTGTCGTTTGTACAAATTATAACGTTCGGACTATTTTTTCAATTGTACGAGTTGAAAAATTAACAAAAATGGTAATCTCTTTAAAGAAATTACTTATTTACATCTCACCTGAATACCTTTTAATACTTTTAGCAATATACTTTCACTCCTTTCTATCAGAAATATTTATGTTTAACAACAAGATTAAATATGTACATATACTGTTGCCCACAAGTTTGGAGCAAGTTCTTTTGTTTCTTTTTTTTTTTTTTTGTAAATTTGAAAAACAAATAAGAAGAATATTATCGCTTAAGATCACAAAGTTTCAATTTCAATACTTTAGAATGGTAATATCGCAAATAAAACGTTCGTTATTTCTTTTTCTTGTTTTATCTTTGAAACTCTATGCTCCAAACTTCTGAGTGCGTGCAAATATCCCTGATGAAACGAAATGAAATTGTTTATCCATAGATAAATATATCATCTATATCGTTTCGTCGAACGCATTCACCGCAAACGGTGAAGCAACTCTCGTCGTATGTTAAATACACTTCTGTTTTTTCACGAATCCGTGAATTAGGAACATCAGCAAAAGCGGTGGGAGAAAATTATTGCCCTTTCGACACCAGACACTGTTATTCGCCGAAGCAGCCAACGATTCCAAATCGGTTGGATCGATTCTCGGGATCTTTCGCCGAGTTATTTAATCGAGTTTCTTTCTTATCGTGGCGAGAAAAACTTTCTCAGGTGTCACGGTCATTTTGTCGCCAAAAGCGAGAATTCTTCGATCGAGGCGAGCCAGCGATCGCCGAGAGATCCTTCCGTCGCGAGCTGACAAAGAAAATTATTACAACGAGCTTCCTCACACGCGTGAACTTTCTTCTTCGGACTTCTCACGGGACGAACGAGTTCTCCTCTCCTCGTCGAGGAAATTAGCGTGTATCGATATCTGGCTGCAGTCGCCGCGAAAAATCCGCGGTTTCCTCGTCAACGTAGCTCTCGCGGCTCGTCGGGGGTGGGGCGGAAGTATAAAAATATAATTTCAGGATATGTCGACACATTGCGGACGATATCGAGCATACGACAGGGGCATGACTAGCTTTCCTTTCCTTTCCGCGATTCTTCTCAAATTCGGTTCGCGGACGATCGACGTGTATTTTAAAAAAATAACAGTCCCTTCCCGGGACTTGCAGAAAGGGGGTTCAGCGCTCCCATAAAAAATTTCGTACGGCGATCTTGTTTCACTGATTGCGAGTGAGCCGCCTCCAAACATTCCGTGAGCGGTTTAGGGAGAGAGGGGAGAGGGGGGAGGAACGATAGAAATAAATCAGAAACAATGAGAAAGGTACGATCGATTGAATGGAACTTAAGACGACGAGGTGAGAAGTGGCCTTCGTTGCGCGGCCTCCTTGTAATTCTGAGGTACGTCCGATTTGCGAATCGTTTTCGATTTCCGCCTCAATTGCTCGCACTTTTCTGCGTTCGATTCCCCCTCGATCTTCTCCTCGAAATTATCCTCGTCTATACTCTTGTCGGCCATTTCCTTCGGCTCGATCTCTTCGTCGACGCTGCTCCAACTGTTATCGCTCTCGCTCTGCTGCTGTCTCTCCTTCTTGCCGCCGTTTATCTTTTCCTTCTCCTTCTCCCGACAGCCACCGTTTTCCTGCGCACAATTATTATAGTTACGATGAACATTACGTAACAGGCGGCTAATCTTCCGGAGTCGGTTTGTGCGACTGACCGTGACTTATCGTCCTTTTTTTTTTTCCTCTTTCTCTTTTTTTTTTTTTGTTGTTGTTTTTAATTACAGATTACACGATCATTTTGAAACCTACACGTGTCGTGCCGTTACGTGTTGAAATATCACGCTCGCGACAAATTTGCCTCGAATTAGATCTGAATTGGTGGGGGGAAATAACGTCGATCTTGTTGGTATTTGTTACGACAAAATTTGGCACGTAGATCTCGAATTTTGCAATGACGATGTCAAAATTGGAAAACAATGAAAGTTTACGTATTTTTTAAATCCTTTGTAAATAAATTATTTTTCTTTCAAGTCACGGAAATATTCCGCGTGTTCCTTCATTTTCTTTTTTTTTTTAACACAGTGTTTCCACTCGTACGAATGCACGAACCAAATAATCAAGTAAAACGTGTGCCTTTCACAGGCGAAACATTTAAATTTTACAGTGAATAGTTCTGTGCGAATTTTATCGCTCCGCGACGTTCTTGATTCGCGAAACATTCGAAATATCGTTTGTCATCGGTAACGAAAAACCGGTTGGCCAGTTAAGTCATTGATTTTGCACGCTGCGCTGCAGGATTCTCAAGGCTGGATACAGATCTCGTCTCTGCATACGCGCAGGTCATTGCAACGAGCAAAAATGTTTCAACCGGTCGAAATCGCACACTTACCATGGCGGTCAGCTTGCTGGGCATGGTGGTGGTGGTGGTTGTGGTAGCCGTGGTGTCCGTAGTATCGCTGCTCTCGCTGTTATTGCTCGGCCTGGCGCCAACCAGAAGCGCTCCCTCTTCTAAATTTTTTCCCCGCGTGAATCTCTTCGATGCCGGCCACATGTCCGATGTACTTTTTGCATTGGCCTTGGCGAGTTTCTGAGCGACGCCCGTCGTCCATACACTCGCCTCGCTGCTTCCAGTGCTGCTGTCGCTTCCGGTGCTGCAATGCCGCCATCTCCGTTCTGGGGGGAACAGGTTCAAAGATCCGATATCTGATCGACGAGATCGGCCGTCTTTTTTTGTGTAAATGAAAAGGTGATATATATTCGTCCGGGTTTTTTTAACCCTTTCCGAGAGATTCAACGATTAAAATTATAGAAAAGTTAAATTTTATTAAGGATCCGATTTCGTTGAATCAACAATCAAATCGGAATCATCTTGGAATTTTGAATAACGTGTCACTGATTGTTACGTTGCTTTCGTGCAACGATCTATCGAATGCACAATTCGTCACGTACTTCTTTGAGAACGACTTTTCGCAAATCTCAAGAGAAATGAAACAGTAGAACGGTGCATACTATCGCACGGGAGAGCATTGGCCAGAATAGGTTTCCTCAGTAGTGGACTACCTCCATCTTGACTGTCCTCGCTGTAAGCTCTCGTTATAAGGATCCTCGGACTCCTCCTCGGTGTTTCGTTCATCGCTATGGAACAGCCAGCGTTCACGTCTGCTCCTATAAAGTCGCTTCTGTAATGGGGACCCATCAGGCTAGCTGCACTCGCGCTAGACCTAACTAATTTGCTGCTTTCCCCTGCGTGCATAAGTTCAACGTCATAATTACGTTACTCAGCCGGAAGAAATTTTACAAATAACATTTAGACCTTGACTCAGTGGTTCCCAACATTTTTTTTTTTTTTGCCATGCCCCCACCTCTGTGATTCGCGTAATTCTTCTTATTCAAAAAATGAATTTTGTGACGTGGAGAAAGCCTGAAAGACTAACTTCAGGGTCTAAACAAGCTTTCAAGGAACATGACATCCATGAAAGGAAAACATTAAAAAGTTGAATTTTCATTTAAACAAATGCAAAAATTTCACAGTTAATGACTCATTCTCGAATTGCCCCCCACGTTGGAAACCATTGGTATACTTTATTATTGAGTTTGTTAGACGACAACGTGGATCGTATTGTATTTGAATTAAAATTAATCTAATTTTATTTCAAAGTGTTTCTAGAGTGTTTTGAATTGCGAGGAATTAAAGAGCATTTCAAGGGGGTTAAACTTGCGACTTGTAACCTGATTCGGAAGTAGGTACTCGAAGTGTATTGCACGAGGCGGCAGGTTGTAGCCTGCTTCGATGAAAGCCGAGATTATTGCTGTCGAAGCTGTTTCCGGTTCTGCAGGAGCCTAGTGCCAGCAGAGCTTCGCTGAGCCTTCGCTGCAATGGCGGGAATGGAAAGAATGAGCCAGTTCCGCTTCCGGACGGTCTTCGCGATCCTGCTGCGCTCGGTGTTCTCGCTTGGATCTCCTAAATTAAAGAATCGATGGATGACTTGGGTCGATCGATCGATGAATAAGAAAGAAAGAAAAAAGAAGAGAAAAATTTGACCTTTACTTTTATAATTTTAAGATATATCGGAATATCTGGAGAATCTTATCTCTCGGTTTTAAGTAGGACACGAAGGAAATGATCAATATTCATTCTTCTTCAGTTTCAAAATGGTAGACGAGATTAAGGAGCACAAAGAAAGTTGAAAATTGATTTCTCTTCTAAAATTGAAATTATTTAAAAATGATCGAGAGAAAAGAGATTACGTATCTTATGACCTCGAGTCTAGAGAAGGTGGAAAGCAATTGAAAAATCTTCTTTCGCTCCGTGTATGATAAATATTCATGGAAATGCTTGAGAATCAGCGAAATACAATTTTCTGAAGGCGATCGAACTGAACGAATCGCGTGCCGCTGCTGGTTTGCATAATCCTTTTTATCATTCGTTACGAAGAGAAAAATTTAGGGGAGGATTGAATAATTTCAAGAACTTTCTCCAAAGTGGAATCTAAAATTTCTGAATCCATTGCGTCAAAATGATGTGCACTTTTCACGTGAAATATCAGTTGTTTCAAAGTGAAATTTTGCAGCTAATAACCTCCATTCAGGGGATTCAGTTTGCATAGATTCATTACAGACAGAGTCTTGAATCGCACATCGCAAAACACATTTCTTTAGAAAGAAAAATTGATGGAAAGAACGATTCGCCGATATACAGATCGAGAAACAAATATTTGGTAATTGCGTACCAATAATGTAACTGGATCAATATAAAGGAAATGTTATTTCTTTTCTACTGAGTCTAAAATTGCAAAATTGCAATAATGCAAAAGGAAACAATTTGCCATAAAAGTATTCTGTTATTTAAAATATGAATTTATATAAAGTATTCGTTGTCTAGTTAGTTCCTTATAGAGTCCTCTAGAGTCGCAAACCTATCACCAGATTTTCACTCATTTCAAAGTTATTTCAAATCGTTGGAACGTTACTTGTTGAAGTTCCGACTTGGTCGCCTTCTTCCTCCAATAATTCTGAACCGATCGCCTCAGTGTTTGCGATTTCAGGCCGTAGAGTAGACCGTTGATAGGCGGGGAACAAGCGAGTAGCAGCGAGGCCAATGAAGCAAGTTTCGGATGATCGTAGAGATGCGGTTTATTACCGACGTCGCAAATTTCCCAAAGAATGAGACCGCAGTACGGGAAATAAAGCAAGTACAGGGAACCAACCAGTTGCATTACCTGGAAATTCAATATACCCGGCTTGTTTCTACGTGTATACCCTGTGGAATAATTTAAATCGCAAACATTTAAATCGCGAGCGAAAGGAACTTGTTAAATAGAATTATACTATCAATCTGTGTTGTTGCCAGAGAATTATTACGGAGGAGGATTAATGCGAAAACGATAGATCATTGAGAGTGTTTGTCGTTGTTAATTCGAATAGGTAAATCGCATCGTCGAAAGGTACCCAGAGAGTTAATTGAACGTAATGCCAAACTAAATAATCGTCCCCGAAGCGCACCGTCGATCGATGTAACTTGCCATCGTTCGGTAGAAATCCCTGGTGAGATTTTAAATCGCATTTTCCCATCGAGTCGATTGGATTTAAAACCAATTGGATGATCAATCGGTGATTATCCGGCGAGTGATTAAAATTTTCGACTCGGCTTTGATAATTCTGGAATAATGCTCGATCAATGAGAATCGAGTTTCACGGCTCGTGAGGTTATTAATTAATCCGACGTAATTTAGAGGGGACACATTCCTCGATACATTCCTCGTTTCGCGTAACAGCGTTCACGCCGCGTCAACAAAATTTTCTACCAACCGGTGAATTCGACCGATGGAAATACTTGCGCTGCAATAAAATTCTGTTTCACCGTTTCAAAGTTTGACAAAACGAACGAATTTTGAAATTTTAATCGATCTCACGTTACCGAATTAATCATCGAAAATTGAATCATTGAAAAACTCGATTGCAGCTTCGATTTGAAATTAATTCCAAGACTTGAAAATTCTCTCTCTCTCTCTCTCTCTCTCTCTCTTTCTCTCTTTACGAAATTACGAAGATCGCGTTTGCTGCCACGCGCACGTGTGCTTCGCCGTGCGAAATCGTCCACGCGACGCCATATCGCGTCTACTCGCGCTGATACAGCGCGATGGTGGAATTATGCAGTGCAAAACGGAAACAGAGAGATGAGGGGAGTGTACGAACCGTCCTGGCCGCGCTGTGAAAGCGAGGCGGGCTGACGACCGAAGGTGCTGTGACAGTCGGCACGAAAAACGGATTCCGTTGATGAGTGATGGTCGCCTGGGCGCTGAGCGTGACTTCGTAAATTGCGCTGGCGATGCGATGCCGGTGGTAACGGGCGATGCCGAGCACACGCAGATTGCAGACAGTTACAAGGATGGCGGGCAATGCCAGGCCCAGAATCGCGTAAACCACCCCGTAGAGAGCCGCCGCCAAGCCCCAGGAGTCGTTGCCGAAATCCGGCGCGCAGCAGCCCAATCCCGGACTGTATCTGCAGTGAGAATCAGCAGACGGTTGACAGTTTTAATTCTTTGTCGTCCTTCTGTTTTATCGGGCTGTTTAGGGCAGTGTGAAATTGGGTATTTAGGGAAGCTTTGCGTCGGATAGGGATTTAGAGCGCAATCTCGTGCAACTGAGCCAAACCGTTTCAAGGTCAGAAGATAAATGATTGAACCTCTCGATGTGCAAATTTTTCCTTGGTCCGCTGGTTTTTTGTCTTTTTTTTTTTTTAAATAATCAACGATAACAATGGGTGATACGTTATTTACGAAATCCTCTTAAATAGTGTAAGCGAATGTTAGTCACGCCGGCCGTTCCTAGGAAGACTTCTTTGCCTACTCGGTAGAAGAGGCCACTCAAGGTTAAGGACCTGGTGACGATCCCAAAGTTTATGACGGATGCCCGTGAGGTCCCAAGATTTATGACGGATGGCCGTAAACCAGAACTAGGGTACCCGGACGAAGGTCAGAACGAAGGATATATATACCCGAAGGAGGGCACGGAGGGACAGTCCGTCAGCAGAACGTCACCTAAGTCGAACGTCGGAATCGGCCTAGCGCGAAAACATACACTTTGTCCTCAACGAGAAACGACTTGTAGAATCCTTGCTTACAAAAGTATAAATCGTTGGTTAAAATTCACGGTATTTGATTTGACTTTATTTCGTATTTTACGTTTGAAGAAATTTGAGATAAATTAAAAATTCTGTTCGTCGTTGTCTCCTTCGATGTCTCAATGACACTGATAATTTAATTAATTTTACGCAGAATTTAAACCTAGATAAAAATTGGAGATTGTTGTAATGCTTTTATCCGCTGGATACAGAAAGAAGTTTGTATAGGAAGGATAAGGTGAACCGAGGCGGAAGAATGTGAGTGATAAGAAAATTTTTCCAGAACCGAGTTTCATTCGTCGAACAAAGAATCTGGCCTTCTGCTATTTTAAAACTATGGCCTGACCCAATTGTTTGGGACATTCTGTATAATATTCGAAGAGAAAATGATAATATTCGAAGGAAGATAGGTTCTTGAAGAAAAGATCCTTCTTTTCGACAGCATATTTCACTTAGCATTTGTTAAATTTTCGTATATACATCAATTATCGTAGATTACTCTCAATAATTCAAGACATTTACGTGCTGTTGGTATCAACTAGAAACAAATCGTTTCGCGGGATAAAAATCAAAAGAATCTGGAATCTATTCAGAATTTCCAGTCGTGCCTCGATTATATCAAACAGTGAAATTATTTTTCTTCTTGCGAGATCTTCAACAATTTTAAATGGAATCTAATTAATCCCAACCTTGACACACTACACCAGCGGAGCGCAAGTAGCGCGGATGAAATATTGCTTTGAATAAAGAAATCGGAACGCTATTTAGACTGCACCGAACATTCATCACGCAAAGACTCGAAACCATCTTCAATTTCTTAATGCTGCCAGCGAAATCTAACACGTTTCTTAAAGCACGAATCTTAGAAAAAGAAAGAAACGGAAAGAAAACATTTGCAAAACTTACAGAAAGTAGCATCGAGCGAATCGAATGAATTAAATAAATCGGGGTTCTTTCTTACGTTATACGAATAACGTATTAATGAATTGGAACAAGTTACAAGATATAAATTGTACGCGTGCTATTTTTATATAAATTTGCAATGTTATTTATTGCCAAGTAAATGTAACTAAAGAAACTTGCGTCGATGACTTGTAACTTGTCAGATTTCGTTAATAATATTCATCGAATCATGCAAGAGGCTGCGTCTGTACATCATTTGTCAGGGGATGATACAAAACAAACCTGTAAGGCGGTACCAAGCCCCAGAAGGGCAGCACGCAGAAAAACAGAGCCCCTGTCCAAGATGCAGCTAGGCCAACTGCAACGCGTCGAGGTGATACTAATGCGGCGTAATGCAGCGGTGCAGCGATCGCGTAATATCTGCACAGAAAATAACCCACGGATATATAAATCGAACGTTGTTCAATCGTTACGAATCCGATGGTCTCGCACACTCTCTGGAGACTAAATTCCGTTTCAACGACGTTTGAAATCGAATCTCTTTTTGCAATCGCGTCCCATTCCAGACGATCACTGCGCTTAAATGCATCGTTCCGGAATGCAACGTGCATGAGCGAATAATGAAAAAGTAGGTGTGGGTGTTGAGGAGAAAAAGGACACGACGCTGTCGAGGAAGGAATGCGACGGTTTAAGTTCGCGCGAGCCGTAAATAAAGTATCGAACGCGTTCGATCGGCCTGAAATCCGGCCAGACACGATATCTCCACGTGATAAAAGTCACGCGTGTCTCCTTGTATTTTTATCCTCGAGCCTTCGCCTTAATTCATGCAATTATTACCAACAAATTATCAATCGTATGCCGAATTGTTGCTTCGCATAATTGTTTCCAAATTATCAACAAATTTCGCCGCATCTCTCGATTCTCTTAATAAAATTTAATCGATTAATCTTCGACGCAACAATAGCGAGCATGCGGTTTGCTTGCGTGTATGCATGTATACACTCGGTAACCGTGTATTAAAGATCATACAAATTAAACTATGAATTACGTCAATGCATGCTATATGCGTGCGTGCATTATTATCTAGATACAAATGGAACAAATGGACCTCTGATAGTAATGCTTGTTCGTTATTCGGACGGAAGGTTTGAATTTAAAAAATAAATTTTTGTGAACAAAGTTACTATTTGCTGTTAACCAACGAGAACGAGAAGACCAATTAACGGTAGAAAATCCGGATAATTTCATATTTTATGAAAACTTAATTGAGCGAGACGAACGTTCGTACAAAGCTTCTCTCTCATTTTTATTCATGTACCGAACCTATTCGCGAGCTGTCTCTCGCGTAATTGAATCGCACATCCACATCCCTTGTGCCCCTCGACACTTTTATTACGTACTAACAACTGTGCTGACAACGAGGGCTAAAATGGCGCGATAAAACGGTCCCGTGCCGTGTTCATTATCGATGAACGAGATGTCGTGACATTTACACGTTTCTACGACGTAATTTGAAGGGGAGCGTTGGCCTTTCCTCTTTCTCTCTGTCTCTCTGGAATCTTAAATATCAGCAGCAATAACGAGACAGCGGTGTGTCGAAGGGTTTCTGATTGAATCGAAGATCTGGCGTCGGTTGACGGCCAAAGAGATATCGGCAGCTGAATGCCGGCAACCGCTATTGACATCTCACGTTGAAAAGCTTGCCAGCTTTGTGCCACGTAAGGCTCGTTGAACGTCACCGATGCCAACGAATCGAACTTGATTTTTCTATCGCACGGTATATGGAGGAACAAAGGACTTCCGACTCGATGGCTCCTCCTCGTTTCGTGGACGAATAACCGCAAATTAGATACCGATTGATGCGCTCCTTGAAAAGTGCTTAATAATCTCTATTTTAATGTCATATAATTATTAAATTCATTCAGCAGTTATTCATTCGTGGTGATCACTTGTTAGTGATCTAGAGTTTGCTGAACATCATTTTAAATAATATTTCACTCTGTGTCACAGTGTGAATAAAATGAAGAAAAGTTGTCAATATTCACTCGAGGACAAGAGAATTCGATCTCGAACGCAAATGTAACGAAAGCAGAAAGATAGAAAAATGTGCTTGCAAGTACTTACCTGTCACAGTTTAGTCCAGTGACAGTCCAAAGGGCGACGGGATGTAAAAGCGTGAGGAGAAAACCGTGGAGAACGCACCAGGTGCCGGCGATCGGCCAGGAACCAGTAGTAAAGATCAGTAATATCAGGCACACAGCGGCCTCCACTGCGCCCAAGTGTATCAGCAACAAAGTATTGGCAGTTTGTTGCTGCTGCGTCTGCGGACATCGGTCGCGGTTAACTCGTTAAGTAAACTTTTCCACGGCGATCAAAAGTTCCTCTACACCCTTAATTTCCAGCTGGGATCTTGTAATTTAAACTTCTCTCGCTGTTTGCGAGACGTGACCCCTGTCTCTCTCTCTCTCTCTCTCTCTCTCTCTCTCTCTCTCTCTCTCTCTCTCTCTCTCTCTCTCTCT